CTAGCGTGGGAAAGCCTTGCAGCTCCAGGATGACAGGAGGCAACTGAAAGTGGGAAACAGCATGACAGATTACCTGCAATTTAGGCCGCAGCTTCGTCTCTTGGCCTTCTAGCAATACAAGTCGATTTGTGTACTCAAATACAGAGTGGAGCGGCGCCGAACGAGATGAAGGAGGAGCAGCAGGATCTGGAACCGGGGCGACGGAAAAGAGAAGAGGAGAAAATAAGAAGAAGAAACCCTAAAGGCCTGCGAAGGAGAAAAGCAAAGCCATCGCAGAGAGACGCAGGGCAGGATCAGACTCAATAGGCTACTTTCTGAGGTCCGCAAGAAAGTGCTCTCTGATAAGGATTCTGCGCCGATTATGAGTGGGTAAGTTTTGCAAGGGCTGGACGGGAAAGTAAGTGAGGTCAGAGTGCGCTGGGATGGCCTAAGTTGTCGATGCTTTACACATACTCATCTTCCCGCTTGACGTTCTATATGCTCCATGGATTTTCACAAAGTGCCTATTTTTGCATGGGTCTCCACAAAAGTGGATGTGCTGGAAGAGCGAGCGCCTCTTCATAGACCCTAGCGCCGGCCTTTCGAGGTCCAGTAGATTTCTCAGAGGAACATGCAGTGCACTGACTTTCCAACGATGAAGTTATCCCATCACACCCCCGGGAGTCATTAGATAGCTTGCGCCTTTGTTTTTTTTTTAAGACTAGGAAAAGACATGCAACTGGGGAAAGCACGCTATTGCGCATCTCGCACCCGTCAAGCCCAGAAGAACGAGCCAAGGACGCTCCCACCAATGCAGCAACGGCCGTCCCTGGGTGGTTGAGTGTCGTCCAGACCGACGGCGGTAGATTCTACTGGGGGCGGAGGCTAGATTTTCAATAGTGGAGGAAAGATGTCGAATTATGTATGGAGTGCTCTATTATCCTTTACCCAAATGCGAACCAAATAGGAGTAAGTCTCCTCCGTCAGCATGCGCATAGCATTTGGGTGCCCTACTGAGTGGAAGGCTCTGCTACTAAAATGCTAGTTTTTGTCATGAACCCACAGTCATGTGTCCCAGTCCCAGTTTATATGAGGGGGCACTTTGACTCTAGCAGTAGCATTTCCAAGCGGCTGGATTTCTACAAGCACTGCCTTCGCTCACGTAGTGCTTGCGACATCTTTTAGGGGGGTGCCTACCCTTTTGCATGTTCGATTTTGATTCGTTATTTCTTTTTTTTGATGATGATGATGATAGATTCTTCTGGTTAGCCCGTCTAAAAAGGGCAATGATCCGCTCCTATCATCACTCGCTGTCTTGTTCGATACGTACTTGGCAGGTTTTCATCAAATGGAGATAAATCTAAGCGGATGAATTTGTTCTCAGCCCACTTCATCTATATGTATATGTCTGAAGTCGAACAAGTGTGGGCCAGGAACTACAGGATCTGTGTCTGTCTGTGAGAGAAAATATTAGAAACGACCCCGGGGAAGAGGATCGTGTGAAGATGATCCTATTTTTGTTTTTTTCCGACATTAACCCTGGGTTTGCTAATTTTTGCCTTTCATCAGGCAGCTCTACAGCACCTCCACTGGTGAAATTGCAGCTTTCGTAAGCCGTTTTCCGAACAAACAGGAGAGGAGCTGGCGTTGGCCTATCTTTATCATTGCCACCATTAGAAGTTGTTCAGTTATAGCAAGTAAGACTTACGTATTGAAGTTGTATTCACATTATCATTCGATAATTTGTTCATCCCGGGGGCTTGATCTTGAGCGATTCTTTTCGGCACTGATTGTTCGAAGATTTTTCTTATAGTTGTTCCTAGATCAGGTTAATTTGCTTCCTCATCCACTTCCTGTCTTCTTTCTTATGTATCTGGATTTTCCACCTCGCTGGACGCTAACTTGACAACGGTCCGCAGCTGCTCCTGGGTACTACATTTCCAAGCTACGACGTCCAATCCATTCTATGATCGCCACTTCTTTCCGAGGCGCCTTCTATCGGCGTTTGTTTCAAGTAGAGCTGCTGCTTCTGCGGGACTAACGAGGATGAAAACGGCGACCACGGGCGGGGATATAAAACTATTGCCTGCAGAACGCGGCGGGTTTTTGGAGTTGCGTTCTTGCAATACAGAGACGATTTGTGGCCTCAATCAGCATCACAAATCTATTTGAGAAGTNATTGCCTGCAGAACGCGGCGGGTTTTTGGAGTTGCGTTCTTGCAATACAGAGACGATTTGTGGCCTCAATCAGCATCACAAATCTATTTGAGAAGTATCCCGCTTGGGTATGGGGAGGGGGGATTTTTCCTCACAATAAAAACCGCACTGCACGCTGCTGAACACGAAATTCTACGTGCAGTACATGGAGAGAACGGGAAAATGGTCCAGCGCAAAGGCTTTCGAGGAGGAAAACGAAAACAGCACGAACAAGAATTAGTGTGAAGATGGAAGCAAAAAAAACTCAATGGCACGACAACATCATTCGATATTTTGTTCGATGGGCACATGGAAGGTCTTCAAATGGAGATGATTGTTCTGAGCGGATGAAAATGTTGATCCGTCCGTGAGAGTAGAAAAAGTAACTGAAAGGCCGAGACCGAGCCTCCAGTCTGTTTCATTATAAAAAAGTGCTTGGCTGGTGCACTAGGGCGTCGCTTGTCGAAGCCTCTTCCCTGGGAAGAGGACCGTGTGACGATCCTCAACCCGTCGCACTGATGTTTCCCAGATCGACCCGCCGACGTCCCAGGCGGGATAATTGATATTTTTTTTTCATCGATCAGCTTTATCAGGCACTTCTACAGCACCTCCAACGACACCGCAGCTTTTGTAAGTAACCCTTCCTCCGAAATAACAGCGCGAGCCAGGCCTTGGCCCATCAGTGCCACCAGTAGACATACTTACAAGTTGTTGCTATGAAAGGAAAAAGTAAAAGAAGTTGTATCCATTAAGGTTTGATTTCAATTTCGTCTCGGTCGGCCTATTGGACGATTGTTCTCGGCATTAATTGATGTTCGACGATTTCTATAGATCGTACAGCAGTATCAGGTTTATTTGCCTCATCATCTTGTCCTTTTTTTTTTACGATCGCGCTTGACAAGATGGGCGTCCGTCGCGGCGGGATCTCCCAGGGTTTGGTTTGGGTTTCAGGGTTTAGGGATGCAATTTTACGTGGCTGGATTTTCAACTATTGCTGGACTCTAACTTGACAACGGTGCGCAGCTGCTCCTGGTAACTACGTTCTCAAGCGTCCAATCCGTTCTATGCTCGCCACTTACCGAGGCGCTTCCCGGCGTTTGTTTCAAGTCTCGAGGAAAGACTTACCGAGGTGCTTCTCCTTACCGAGGAAAGACTTACCTATGGATCGCCACTTACCGAGGTGCTTCTCCTGCGGTGGCAACGAGGATGAAAACGTCGACCACGGGCGGGGATCAAATGAACAACATGACCGCAGTGGTAGAACAAGTAGCAGTAGGATACAAGAAGAACGACGAGCGTAGACCACTGGGGATCATGATGGCCACACCCCCAAGATCTCCCTCGTCGTCGTTGCCACCAGCAGTAGAACGACATGAAGTGGTACAAGAGCCGAAAGACCTTTCACTACAACAACCAGAAGGCGAAGCAACTACCACTGAGTCCGGACCAGGAGCGAAAAAACAGGTTTTTTCGCCGCCGGCGAGAGGAGACCAGGACGGCGAGCCAGTGAAAGATAATGGTGCTGAAGATCATGGTCCTAGTCCTACTAAGCCAGCCGCTTCCGTCCTCGCCCCTGCTGCGCCGATAATTTCGCTGAAAGAGCAGCGGCAGCTCTTTTTGCAATCTTTGTTCGACGAAACAGAAACGGAGGAGTCGCGGAAGGAAAAGGAAATTTCTTATGCGAAATTCTCCAAAAAGCTATCCAATTGGGAGAAGAACTGGATCGGTGCTGCATCGTCGTGCTCCACGACCTGCTCAGGGGAAAACGGAAATGGCACGCACGACAAAAACGAAGACGAAGCTCAGAGCGACCGGGGGAACGGAAATAAGAGCAACGACGTCTCTGCTGAATTATCGCAAGTGCAACACATCGGGCTACAGCCGCGCATAACGACGAGCCTAGGTCCCGTCTTGGAAATCGTCTGGCGTGACGGTGACTACAGTGCTGACAAGTATGTTGAACAGACGAGAAGTTGTAGACCGCAGAGCCAGGGCAATATTGGCGAGAAAGAAGTAGCGAATCCAGTATTACAACTTCCACCTGCAACACTTGCGGCAGCGGCGCCGGCACTGGGAGCTGTCGGGAGCAACGGATTTCGATTTGGCGGACTTGCTAGAGTGCGAGCAGATGTTGAGTCGTCTTCTCACCAGCAGTCTTGCCCCGGCCAAGATGATCAACAAGACCAGGAGGACCAACTGCTTCCCCTAGGACAACCGGGGCCGGCACTTGGTCCAGATGAAGTGCAGCTCCAAACAAGTGGCACCACGTCTACCACCTGCAGCTCCACCCTATTCACGCCCACAGACCAAGTGGCTTTCCACGCGATGACGGAAAAAGCACAGATGCTGCAAAAACTCGTTTCGGAAAAACTGGATCAACTTCGAGCTTCATCCGGTACCCCTGTTGATAAGACCGCAGCTCGTCCTGGTCCTGTAGACAAAATTGCCAATGGCACTAAAGGGAAAGGAAAACTACAGGGGAAGCAAGCGGCGGCCAGTGCAGCAGCTCCAGTTTGCCCCTCCACCAGCTCCGTGAGAACCTCGGAACAGCGGCAATTTGTGCTGCAGTTTTTAACTTACGATCGGTCGGAATTGCTGCACATAGCGGCGATGATGCGGAAAACAAGGCAGCACGAGAAAGAGGATTATGAGGGGGATAATCTTGTTAATCCCAGCTGCAAGAACACAGGTTCGTCTGTTTCCGCTTTAGCTTTATCTCGTAGGATATCCCACGAAAAAACTGTTTCACTGTAAGGATTTTGCAGGTTTTGCATCACAAGTTCGTTCTACATGACAGGGAAAATTTGCCATGCAAGCTTCCTAAGGGAAAACACAGCTAAAAATCCAATGTCGTGCATGTGTAGCAAGACAAACACATTTGCGTTGCGTGCTATGCATCACAAGTTTACAGTGAAACAGTTTTTTCCTGTGATATAGGAGGTTTCTGCAACACAAATTTATCACCCACGACCCAGAGGAGTGGAAGAAGTACCGAGTTGCGAACGCGAGGAACGAGGAGCTGCGGACCACGTATCAAATGTAAAAATGTCTGGGTCTGGAAGAATGCAACTTGTGATGCTGAATTTGGATTCCAAAAAAATCTGTATTGCATGAGCAGCAAAGGGAATGCAATTTTTGCTACGCGGAGAGGGAATTTGTCATGCGGAATAGGCATCGCGAAGCCCTCAAAAAATCTGTGGTGCTAGGGATGCATCACAGACATCATGGCCCGCGCAAAACATGCATGACAAGTCTCAGAATCTTCCAGACCCAGACATTTTTACACTTGATACCACGATGATGAAGACAACTACAACAGGCAGCTACGACTATGAGGGAAATACAATCTGTGCTGCTGATGAACAGGCTGCACGAGTCATGTCCTCACGACTAGGCGTTGTAGAAAGCACCGGCACCACGGGTGGGACTACCTCAACGTCAACTCAGCAAAAGAACATCAACTTGGCGCTGGAGGAACACGCTGATGGTAGTGACAACAAGAACGGCGCACTAAGTTTAAGTTACACTGCCACTTCCAGCTCGAGCGTTCCCGGCCCACCGGGACATCAAGAGAAGAATTACGTGGTCGAAACAACAAATGTCATCGTCTTTCCCTTCCCCATAGTGCAAGCGAGCGAGAAGCTGCAGGGCAGAATGCTCGACGAAGCGGTGGTCAATGCCTCGCTGGGAAAGACCAAAAACGACAAGAACACGACCAAAGTGTCGACTGGAATTGCGAATAAGGATAAATCAAAAACAATAAACCAAAATAAGCACAAAAAGGGTGGCAAGAATCTACTTTATTCGAAGAATGGCACGACGAATGCAAGAGCCTCAGGAGCAAGAGCATCAGCCACGCTATCATCCACCAACCAGCACGACCGTACCCGTCACTACAACAACCAGTCCCTTCTTCTCCTGCCGAACAACTGGACCGAAGCCTCCGACGAGGCGAAGCAAAAAGCCCTGGCAGTCGCGCTCCTCTCCGAGAACTTCGTCCTCATTGACATCATGCAGCCACTGTCGGAGTATTTTCGGGCACAAATAAACGCCGTGGAGGATTTTTCCGCGGTTTTGGAGCAAGTTTTCCTCTGCTTCCTCGACGAGGCGCTGAGTGTTGAGATTTTCGAGGCCAGGTTCGAATGGGCGTGGATCGCGCGGACACGGCGGGAGGAGAAGTTACGGGCAGAAAGCGAGAAGAAACTGCAGGAAAGGAGAGATTTTGAAGCCGCACTGAAGCTTTATGCGCAAGAACAATTTGACGAAATTATAAACGAGGAGCATATAATGAATCCTCATCAACTTACACCTTCCGATGGTGTCGCCTTTGTTCTTCCCCAGGTGGACGACCAAGGACGCAACTACACTGGCGCGGCAGAGGAGCAAGTTCTTTTCGAAGATGATGCGAACTTATTTCCAGCGCGTCGGGTCGTGGATAACGATAACGTTTCTGCCTACACGACGTCCTTCAACCACAATTTATTTGGCGAAGAACAAGATGTGGAAAACGACGACGATTCTTCTACCTGGCAAACCGTGGTCACGACCACTACAAAATCGCAGCAAAAATCCTTGCAGAAACAAGAGGAGTATGCCAAATTCAAGCACGAGAGACTCGGCAGGGCGGTCCTGTTTTGTTTGGAAAAGAACCCGGGCGTATGCTGTGCAAAAGTATCGTACTCGTATAAATGCAGGTCTTGCATTACAAATTTCTTTGTCAAGGCAAATCAGCATTACAAAGTTTATTTCTCATGCTGAGAAAATTTGTAATGCATTTATACGAGTACGATACTTTTGCACAGGATAGGGCTACGCATTTGACAATTTGCTGTCGAAGTACTTCGAGAAGGACTTCCCGGCAATTTTTGACCTCCTCAACGCACTCGCCACGGTGCAACACTTTGACATCGGGATGGTGAAACTATTGAAAGCGGTCTGCGAGCTGGAAGGGCCGGAGGAATGGGTGTTAGACGAGAGCTGTGCACAACAGGACGTTGTGACTGGTGCAACACCAACAGTAACAGATAACATGACACTTCACAATGGTCGTACAATGTTACCGTCGGCCGGTGCTCACTCTCACACCGATGTGTTGAGCGGAGCCGGCTTTCCGATTGCATCACCTCCAATGCACGAAGTAGAACTCCGCCGGAACAGCGGCACTACTAACAAGAGCGCCGCCAGCAAAAGATCTCTAGCGGGATCCTCGGCCGCGGCTGTTACTCGCAGCTCTATTCCAGAAGAGAAAGCGTTGCTGTTTGATGGTGGTGAGAGTGATGAAGGAAGAATTTTCAAGAAGGAGGACTTTGAAACAACAGTTGCAGCCAGTGCCAGCAGTTGCGTTAATAACATGCAAGACGCTTGGGCCATCAGGAGTACAGCAAGATCCGTATTCGGCGGCGCAGTCTGTAATGTAGGTACACACGATGTCACACATAGAGTGGACGAAGGCGCGACAACTACTGCAGCACTAGCGGAGGAAGAGCAAGATCTTTTTGGGCAAGAGGATTTTTCCTACCCGCACCCCACAACACCCGGAGGTGCGGGCGGTGATCCTGGTGCGTTGCTTGCTAGGTCCTACAGTCGCGACACGGCAGTGGCCTATGGTGCCCCAGGTTCGGGCGGAGATAATGCCTTATTATCACAGGAAAAAGCGTTAACGTCAACGGAGTTTGTGATGCAGTAACGCATCACAAAACGTGCCCAGGTTTGTCATGCCTAGCATGCATGCTAGGCAAAATTTGTCATGCATATTTGCGATCTATGAAAACCTCCGTCAACGTTAGCCCTTTTTTGTTTGATATGCCTCGTCAAATAGCCAAGGTAGATCCAGTTTGTCAACGCCCGTTTTTTCCCAACGGAATTCGGCAAGAACTAGTGGGGGATTGATCATGAATGCCGTGAATTACAACACCAAGGCCGCCGCAACTCCTGGAGCAGAAGCAAATACTGCGATCATGTTGTCACGACCTGATGCTGATATGCCTGCAAGCACGCAAGTCCAAGTGCAAGAACGGCAAGATGAACATCAAACAGAAGCTGAACAAGCACAGGAAGACGAAGATCTTCACGATCACGACGACGACGAGTGTGAGGAAGAAGATGAGGTCAATTCCACGTCCTCGCCCGCGTTTTCCATTGCAGTGCCCGTCCCACGACAATCGCGGAAACCGGATCTGAGTCCTGCAACCGCCTTCGTTTTGCAGAGCAACCCGTTCGCCAATTTAGCGGACGACGACCACACCTATGTGGGAGATGAGGAGGGCGAAGATGAAGATGATGAACCTGACATGCGCGGGGGCGGCGGCCCCGATCGCCCTGAAGAGGGCACAATGACCAGCGACGATGAAGAAGGGCACACCAACGACAGAAGCGCCGAAAACCAGTCGCATCTGCTTCTCCATTGGCTTCGGCAGCAGGACAGTACTTCTGCGAATGGGAGAAATCCTGGAAAAAAGAAAAAATCCAGGACGATCACGGCGGAGACCCTTCTTCACAACTACTGCAAACGAGATGCTGGTGGTGGTGCCAAGGCCAAGCATCTTTCCAGCAAAGCGAGGAATAAGAGGAAAAACGCGTACCCGCACGGCCTTGCTTCTGATGATTTCTTGGTGGACAAAATGATCTCCATGTCGGGAGCTGCAGGGATGAAAAGTGCCACGACATTTTTGCGGCGAGCAGCGGCGGAGGAGGATGAGGAGGAGGAAGAACTTATAACCAACTTGATCAACGCACACTTCGCCGCGAAGAGACAGAGGGACCTGATAAAATGCTTGCTGAAGTGTTTGCAGAGGTTCTTCGTAGCTCACGAGGACCCGAGCAGAATTAATACTGAAGATCGGCCCGTGGACGTGGTTGTTGACCACACCAACTTCACCAGCATCGTAGGCACGACCGTCGCTTCTACTATTCCCTTCGACGATAGTACCTTTGTTCTAGAAATCGTGATATCAACTGCAAAAATGTCTGGGTCTGGAAAAATGTAAACTTGTCATGCAGATTTTCCATGACCCATGAAGTCTGGAATGCGGGACTTAGCACGACAGACTCCACGAGGTCTCTGCCATGCCTATCCTGCATGAGAAGCTCCATCCTAACTTGGGTTGGTCAAAAGTGCTGGACAGCTTTTGGTAATCCTAATCATGCATCACAGGTTTTTACATGATTCAGATTTACCATGACAAGTTGCCACGTTCCAGACCCAGACACTTTTGCATTTGATACGTGAACGCCTTGCATCCGGTCTTAGCGTACCAAGAAAAGGCGCTCGAATATTGAGAGGAAAGATCCCCCCTCCCCATATCGAAAAGGTATCTTTCCGAAAATTTGCGTTGCTGATTTGAGGTCACAAATCACATTTGTCTTGCAAGAAGACAAGGGCAGAAGCTTCCGCCTTATTATGGAAGCGATTTGTCATGCTGTTGGGCCTAAAGGTCAGCCGTTTGCAATGCTGAACAACTAGACCCGTACGCCCCTAGCTAGCCTGGGGATCTGGGCGCAATGCCTTCCTGCAATACAAATCTGATTTGTGTACGCAAATCCAGCATCACAGGTCTCCTTTTTGATATGGGGAGGGGGGATTTTTCCTTTTCATATCGACCCGCTACCCGAAGCGGCACTAGTTTACCTCTCTACAACAACTCCAGGTGCGGGAGCCGGTGGTGGAGTTGTTGAGAGTGTTGAGGGCGGGCCAGGAGGAGTTTTCTCTGCTGCAGAAATGTTGCAGAAGAGACGGTCCAGTGTGTTGCACTGGCAGCCGCGGGGAGTTGGAACAGCTGCACAAAGTAGTGGCGATAGAATTACATCTTCCACCAACTACAACATGACTGCAGCAGGTGCGCTATTGTCTTCAACGACGACCACGACATCTAGTTACGCAAGGAAAAGAAGTTTTTCGAAGCCCTTACAACCTCTTGGGCACGACGTAGCGAACTTCCTGTCTGCGTTGATGCAGTATTGCGTTTACACTGAGCAAACATCTTCATTGGTGAAAATTATCGAGTCGCTGCAGTCCATCATCCTATCCGGCGGTGTGGTCCATTCAGGAACGTCGCCGAAAAACAACAAAAAGAAAAAGAGAACTGCAGAAGATTTCCTCCGGGATATTACAGTGAAAAATGCCCCCACGACCTCCAAAGTTGCAAAAATTTGTGATGCAAAGTTTACAAATGAAAACTTTTTGTCATACATGAAAGGAGTATACGATCTTTCTGATGCAGAGTCTAGGTGTAAATAGCATCGCTCGCATGACACGCGATGCTTTTGCTGGGATCTTTTGCAATACAAATTTTTGCTATTCACGATTGGAGACCCGTGACGTTGGTAGATGCAGGAGGGCGAGCGTTTCACTTGGAAAGGTTTGCAATACGAATGCTCCCAAGTTGAAGTTCGAGGGTGGGGGCATTTTTCGGTGTAATACGGGAGCAAGGCATCATCACGGAAGAAGCAGCAGCAGGTTCAGCCGCAGCTGGAAATAAAACAAAAACAGCTTCTACTTCTGCAAGTAGAAACAGCAACAACACCAACAGCAAAACCAACCGCGCCACCATGCAGTTTGCCTGCCAAGCCTTGGCGCAATTTCTCGAACATTTCCCGGTATGTCTCAGGCCCTCCCGCTTCCCCATCTTTCTGGGCACGACGACAATGGTGCCCAGAATTGTATTAAACGAAGAGGGGGCTTGTACTGACAGGCCCTCCTGCGGCGCGACGCTCTCTACTTCCGCGGCAAAAGTAGAACAAACGATTTTCAAACTGACCCGAGCCCCGGACATCCTCCTCGCTGCGGTAAAAAAAGGCGCCGTCGATAGGGGAGCGAGGAACAGCACTGCTTTTCTCGATTTTATTTCCGGTGTCTCGGCTGTGGATTTTCAATTCAGCGCGAAGGTGCTGGAGGAGGAGGTTGCAGTACAACGGGCAGCTGCTAGTAACTCTGACTCGAACATCAGCACCAGAAGTCCGCGAGGAGCAGTTCCTCCGCCTCCGGAATTACTATTCGCAAGGGCTCGTAATTATATTGGTACAACGGCGCAAAGTGATCACCTGCATGAACATCGGCAGCTTCACGACAGCTCCATCACCTCCCCGCATGATGTACTAGTTGATCAATCAACCCGGTACCGGCAACTTGACGCCGTCCGGAACAACCTGCTGAATTGGATTATCTCCGACTTACTCCTCACCGAGCGCCGGTGCACGGCCGCGGCCATGCTTCTGTCTAAATTCGACAGCGTTTTCCCTGCGGACAACCTGCGGAAGCTACACAGGTTAACCGCGGATCGAAATTTCTACGAAATCAGCGACGTGGTAAAGAAACAGGCTTTTCTTTTCGAGGAGCAGAAGAAATACAAATCGGCAATGAAAAGCATACAACTCCTTCAACATCATCCGAGTTTGAATTTTCCGGTCAATGGCCTGGCTATGGCCAATAATGAAGTCATAGTCAACCATTTTGGTGGTACCGGTACTAGTAGTTATGCTTGCGTAGAACAGCATCAACAGCAGCAAACGATGTTGAACCGAGTTCAAGTCGACGTCATATCCTGTGCAAAAGTATCGCATTGATTCGTATAAATGCAAGCCTTGCATTACAAATCTTTTCCTTAAGGCAAATCCGCACTACAAATTTTATTTTTCATGCTGAAGAAATTTGCAATGCATTTAGACGAATACGATACTTGTTTTGCAATGCATACGTCAGCTGGATGGACCATTTCTACATGGGAGATCCAGCCGTGATTCGGGAAATTCAGGCGCAAGTCGAGGAAAACGCACAGAATAGAAGGATCGACATATCGTATGTAAAAACGTCGTCCCCACAACGTACTAGTTGTAAGGCAAATCTGAATGCTGAATATGTTTCTCATGCGGAGCCCCATGAGATCCGTTTTCCTGTCGTGTTTTGGAATTTGTCATGCTCCAAGCAGCATGATGGACTAGATCTGTGATGCTACTGAGCTAGTACTAGCTCAAACAGCCCTACACTACGAGTCCAAATTTGTCATGCAAAACAGCCAAAGTTCGTGGATTTGTGTTTGTCTAGCCGATTCCCCATCTTGACTATGGGGTCGTGGCGACGCTGTTTTTACATAGGATACGACAACAGAAATGCGAATATGGGGCGTGGAGGAGGGGGGTTTCTGAGATTGCCGTGAAGTCTATCACTAGACCAAAGTATGATAGATTGATAGTGTGGCTCTAATATCGGCTTGGGCTTTCTACTTCTGTTGGGTATGGGTTTGATTATTCTTATTGTTTATTTTAAATGTACGACTACGACCTTTTTGGGATAGAAGATACTTACGTTGAAGAGCTTTTTTTGGGGAAGAAGTCATTTTAAGTACATGTATGATGCAAGCGGGGCTGCACGATAGTAAGTGCACGCATAATATCATGAGAAGAAGTGGGGACGATGTGGAACTACAGGAGCGGGCGCATATTGTCAAAAATGTCAGCGACGCAAGAACAAAGAAAATGTCAGCGACGAGTACTAAAAAAATCGAAATCCACTACACGGCAGCTTTGAATTACTATAGTTCAGCACCAGTCGCATGATCTGTCGGGGAGTTTTCAATTTTGTTGTTGGCGGCCACAACGTGTCATGATCCTGTTGTCGAATTGTTGCAAGCAACCTTTATGAAGAGGGTCTTTACCTCCTCCTATATAATTGTGGACACGCACCATCGTCTTAAGCTCTCGTTATTAGTCCTCTCACTGTTGCTGTGCTGGTTTTAGTTATTGTCCCCCTTGATCTTTCATCTTGAACTTATTCTAAATTTCTTCGAGTGCTGCCGTGTCTAGTACAGCGCAGAGACAATACTTATTGTCACGAACAACTGTATCCTGTGCAAAAGTATCGTACTCGTATAAATGCAGGTCTTGCATTACAAATTTCTTTGTCAATGCAAATCAGCATTACAAATTTTATTTCTCATGCTGGGAAAGTTTGTAATGCATTTATACGAGTACGATACTTTTGCAGTTCATAAACTGTCGTGCACGAAGTACTACATCTACAGCTTGACTTTGAGTTTGACAACTCGTTCTTCATAAAGTTGATGAATTTTGATTTTCCTCGTCCATCAAACGTACGGCCCATGGAGGCCATGTTTTGGTGTAGCTCTTCTTGCGCATTTGTTGTTTCGTCCAAACCAAAAACGTCCAAACGTGTTGTTCGTACGTCCACCGTGGTTAAGTACTGTCTTTGAGACAACTGAGGCAAGATGTTGCTCCACCTCGCAGTTGTACTTGACTGCAGCTCTTCATCTGCAGCCACCCACAGTTGTCGGTATTCTAGGATAGCAAAATTGTTTCGCTGCGTTTGCTTTTGGAAATTATACTTCGATTTTGACGAAGTCGAAGACAATAACAGGACCAGCAGAAGGAGCGAGACAGAAAGAGCCCCGGTTTATGCCCCTTTCCACAATTCCAATTGTCAGAGTTGACTTAGAGGACGTAGCTCAAGAAGTCGCAACTTTTTTCATCTTCGGATAATACCCTTATCGACCTATACGCGCCGCAAATAAGACCCCCAGAAGATAGGCACCTACGATTTATCGATACCCTCTCAACAACAACCCCTGGAGCAGCTACCTATCAGAAATAAACATTCGCCGAAAGAAGATAAACCCCCCCTCCGCGCTGGTGCCAACATTTTCACCTGCTAGAAGCCCGGAGACTTCTGGAGAGCTGCCAAACGAACGCTATCGGCGAAGAAAAGGAGCTGGAGCTGCCAGAGAGGCCGCCGTACCGAGCGCAATTGTCACGACCACCCGTCGGTGACGATAGATCACGCGGTTCTTTCCACCTCGTCCAAATAAACCCGGAAACACATCATACGGGAAGATCCAGCACATCATCTTCACTCCACCTGCAGTGAAATCAAATCGCCTTGCTGGCGACACATCACCATTAGACTGCAGATCCTCATCTCGTACGACAAGACCAGACCCGAAATAAAACCATGGGCGGCGAAATCCCATCGGACCTGAAGCCCACGGAGGGCAGCATCGTCGTCAAGGAAGCAGATTTGCAGGTCCTAGCGAAATCCTTGGACCCGAGAAAAGTCACAGCAGCACTGCAGAAATTCAGGTACAGTTTCTTCTAGTTTCGATCAGGCAAAAAATATGAAGTAAGTAGTGCGATAGTGTTTAAGTTTATGTTGGTTGAGCATTTAATTTTCCGACGCCGACCTGGGAGGGGGCCGCTGCGTCCTCGCTGCCCCCAAGATCATGCGTGCACCAGCATTCCCTACTGATTTATCGCCAACCAAAAAATCCCCCCAAATAAAAAAAATCAGGTTCATTGCAAGAACAGAAACGCTGCAGCACCGTTTTATCGAAGCAGAAGGCCTGCTTTACGTGATGACCTGCCTCACAAGGTATATGTGGAACCCAGCGGTGTGCAGAGAAGCCTGCAACCTATTAGGCGGCTTCACGGCGCAACACAGCTGCCATGCGGTATAATTTTCTTCTTCTACGTCATGCAGAAACTAGTAGAGCTACGTGCTTCGTCCGCTTTTTCTCTTGTCCACACGATGAATTGTCATTCGGATGATGAAGTGTGAGTAGACAAGAAACGATCAAAATTAAAATTTGTGATGCAGATCATGCTCCATGACCACCTGACATACATACAAGAAGAAAAAAAAACACCGTATCACAGCAACTTATCCGCGAGGGTGTCCTGGACGTCCTTTTTTCGCTCTATGACACCCTCAGAATGAAAATCCTCAAAGTGGAAATATTTGTGATGCATGAAATGCGACACCAAAAAGACTGCATTGCAGAGAACGCAACGGAGGCCGACTATTGTGCTTCTACGGGTTCAGAATTGGGCTGCTGATTAGCACGAGAGAAGGGCACCCCTTTGCCTACCTAGCATGACAGACATGCTTTGAGTGCCCGGAAAATTTGTCATGCGCCGACTAGAAATGGCGCTTCGACTGGAGTCGTTTTTTTGCATTACAAATTATTTCCACTTTGAGGATTTCCATTCTGAGGCTGTCATACACTCACCTTGACCCATTCCAAGCCGGCGTTAGACCAGGAAACTGAGGTGGAAATACTACTGACTGCGGTGGAAGCTGTGGCAAACTTCACGGCAAACGCTGACAAAGAGGTACAAATTGGTACGGTGTTTTGAAGATGAAGATTTTTGCAGCAATACAAATTTTTCCTCAACACGGTCGAGTATGCAAAATGCGAATGCAGCGGCTGAATTCATCCGTCATGCTGAATTTTTCGCAATGTCAATGATGTGTTTGTGTTACAGTTAGTAACACCGCCCCCCGTCATGAAAACAAAAAAAAAACTTCTCCAGATCCGCGCGGCCTGCGTTGAGAAGGGGGCGGAACGAATGTCAGCACTGGTCAACGACGTGATACTGAAAGAAAACAAGAACCTCACGCCATCACAAGTCCACCGATTGCAGTTGAACGGGAGGAGGCTAAGGGAAAACTTGGAGAAATTGTGCAAGGCGGATAGTTGGGAAGACATGGGAAAGAGAAATCAAAGGTACTTACTATTCGAGCTAGTTTGTTAAGTTTACCTTGTGATTTTGACGTGAGTAAGATTGCTTATTTTTCCGCATGTTGACCTGCATCAGAAATTTTCCGTCAGCATCACCTTCAAAAACTGACTCAGTTGTGCCTAGTATGCATGACAAACTTGTGGAGACGCCTATAAAAAACTATCAGGTACTGGCTGAAACGAGAGGTGTATCCGATGACAAAGCGGGGCGATCCGACTTGGAAACCCCCAAAGTGAGAAGATGAAGAAAAGGCAGCAGGAACACAAGAACTACTGTTTCAATTCTGTCATTGTGCACTATGCTACATCCAGTACTACTACACTACGCTGATTTATTGCACACTATTTTTGGACCCGCACTTGTTCGATCCCAGGATCGAGTGCGACCTCAAGAAGTAGTACCTGTCGTGCTGCGACTATTAGCTGCAGCGGAATTATTACCCACAGTGATGTCAGAAAGATTTCTTGTATAAAAATGCAATATTATGCTGGATATGGTGCAAAGAACAGAGTCTTGTACAATGCAGTTGATGAAGAAAGTGTTTTACAATTTTTATCCGAGCCAATGAATCGTTATCCAATTATCCAAAGTTACACGGAAAAGTACTATCCAAGCCAATGCCAAAGCCAATTTTATCCATTTGTTACAATTTCCAGACCATCTTCAGAAGAATCGTTTCATCGCCTGCATGCGCAAGCGTAGACTTCTCTGATAGTTCGAGGAGGCTACGCTGCAATTTTGGTCACAGATTGTCATGAACACTGTATCCAATAGATTTGTTATCCACAAAAATGTGCCTGTAAGATGACGCAAGTGCAAAAATAAATCCCAATCAATGAGGTTGGCTCGCTTCTTACTTGTCGATGCGTTCCCGTCCTGCTACCATTCTAGGGTCACAAATTCCTTTTGTAGCTACTGAAGTCGTGCTGCGTTTATTTGAAGGCTACATCAGTATGAATTTCGTAGTAGCTGCGCCAAAGCTGTGCGTTGTAACTACCAATGAAGAACTCTGATGTACAAATTGTCGGTGAAGAGTAGACGCATGGCTCGGTCTTTGCTGCCCCGAAACAAAGCACAGAAATATAGAAATGCTCGGTCTGCAGTTTTCGTTTGGAATGTCTACTCGGTAATATCTGCGCGCCAATGCTGCAGCTGCAGTACGAGTATCGTCCACCGTGATGTATTTTTGTACCTTTGGAGGCAATCGTCTTTGTCTTACTTTGCGTTTGCTCGGTCGTGCTGTATCGAAATAAAACCGCGCCATCTTCGGTAGAAAAAAATGTCCGTAACAAGAGCGTTGTGTCGGTCTCGGTGTTGTAAAATCTCATATGTCGGTCGTTCTTTCCCGTCCGCCTCGGTTGCATCTGTTGGCGATTGTAGCAACGAAGATGCAGCAAGTACTAGAAGGAGATAGAATAGTAGTTGCACGACTCTTGCCCTAGTAGATCGTGAACTTAGCCTCACTAGCCACCACAAGGGCAAGAGATCGAATGACTCCTGCACGAAACACGCAGAAGAGGCACTTCTGGCGTTCATTGCAGTTTTGCATTCAAGAGGCTTTATTTCGACTTCCCCACTGCAAAATGAATTCTTCAGGAAGAAAAACTTTGTTTTTCCTAACAAAACCCGCGAACACACTATTCTTCCGACAATTTTCCAACGTATTCACACTGTAATTTATTCCACAGCCACGAATTCTAAAAACAATTTTGTACAATTTTCAAATACAAATCCATCTCAAACGCTTGAATCAACAACTACTTGTTCTACTTTCAAACTTTCTTTTTCGACAACGGTCGCACCGGCTAGAGTTCTCTACGAAATACTGAAACCTCTACCCGATTCCCGACCACAACAACCTACGATCATGTCGACCAACAACCGTTCCAGCGGTCGCTCCAGCGGGAGCCGGCAAAGTACCACTGGAAACAACAACAAGAACCAGTCGTCTACTTCTTCGACCCGCGCCCTCCCGTTCACGATTTTCTACCAAGACGAGGACGGAAATCCCCGGGAGATTCAATTCACCCAGGAGGAGAAAGAAGTCCTGTGGCGCAAGCTGGACTACCCGAGCGAACAGTTAACAACTGTGGCGGACATCAACACCGCTTGCGACCTGATTTTTCCAACCGTAAAAACCCTGAACGACAAAGTCGCTCTGGAAAAGTGGATCAGTTTGCCACCGGAGGCGCTGGGCACGCAGTCCCAGCAGGAAATGGACACGCAGCACCCGCAGCTGTCGCTGCTGCACGAGGAGGACGACTTTTTCGACGAAAGCGGGGAGGTGGACAACTCCGACGTGGTCCAGTTTGCATTTTTGCTTCGCACCGTGCTTTCCCGGAAATTCCCCGGGAAGTTTTGCTCTCCCTTCATCGTGCGGTTTTCGGATTTGGATAACCCGGACGACAAGGGTTTGTACGAAACGGAGCAGCAAGCTCTGAAGCGCGATTGCGCGATGGCTCTTGCTCGGATTTTGGAAACCGGCGGCCGCGCGTCCGAGCAGTCGAAGGGCAGCCCGAAGTTGAACGCGAATTCGCAGCGGAAATTCCCGAGTGCCGTTTCTGCAACAGCGGGATCGGGAAAGACGAGGCTTCTAGTCACCGCGAGGAAGGTGCCAGATGTGGTTTTTCACGAAAAGGAGCAGTCTTCCTCTGGTGTTTTCCAGAAAGACGCCGTGATGGGGGAGAAGAACTGGCACCGGGCGGTGTCGGAAATTGTGGGGAAATTCCGGCTGGAGTGCGGCTTTTCCACGCGCTCGTTTCCGACCTTAATCGGCGTGTCCAATTCGACGAATCTGAAGCAGAAGCAACACGTGTACAAGTGCGAGGAGTTGATCCACAATGGGAATTTTAAAATGGCGATGTCGGACATGAAAACCAACACCGTGAACTTGGTCGAGTTGAAGGAGTTGTGGATTCTCTACACGCTGTCCCACCCCCACGCGGATCGGCTGGTGGCGGAAATTGTGATGAAGAACATGGACAAAATGCTTTCCCCTGTCGGCGTCGACAACCGCCGGCGGTTCAAGATCCCGATGCTGCCGCGCTCACTGGAGAAGAAGCGGATTGCGCGGCGATTGGTATGCAATGTAAATTTCCCGTACATGTACAAAATGCATGACAAATTCCGCTAACTTGCAGTGCGCAACTTGTCATGCTAGACTAGGATTGAAGGCAAGTTTTGTCATGCAGAAACTGCATTTGTACGCGTACGGGAAATTTACTGTGGATAGTTGGCGTTGGAAAACGACAAGGGATGCTTGGTGTTGTTACACAACGCGTCGGTCTTTTACGTGGATCACGATCGGGCGAACACCTTGTCGACTTTGTCGCCGTCCGTGGAGGGGACGGGAAATCAAAAGCCGCATCATGTGGTATAAAGTAAAACTCAGACCACATCAAGTGCCCCTTTTTATGTACTTCTGGATTCCTTCTTCACGATCACGGATTTGTGTTGCACGAAACGCTTTTGATATGCGCGATCTGTTTCCTAGATGCTTATGCTTTATCGTTATTCATGTTCAATAAAACTTCACTATCAGCTCGCCGTCCGATCCCCGGATCCGATCAAGAAACACCTATCCAGTGCAAAACAAGTATCGTACTCGTATAAATGCATTACAAATTTCCTCTGCGTGGTGAGAAATAAAATCTGTAATGCTGATTTACCTTAAGAAAAAGATTTGTAATGCATGATCGCAGTACGAGTGCGATGCTTTTGCAGTGCATAACACCAGGAGTTCGACAAGGACGGCACGCACTACATGTCGGACTACTACCACATTGAGAAGCAGACCCAGTACGACGACGGGGAAAAATTGGTCACATCCGTCGACCGGACCATCACCGCCCAGTCGAAAGGCGGCGCGGAGATGGACATCACCGTGACCCACAACGTGGTGACGGACTATTTGCCCGATGGGGAAAAGATCACGAAAGACCACGTGTCCGCCCGCATGCACCGGGAGCTGATGGTGAAGAAGGACAATGTATGGAAGTGTCAGGATTCAAATCGACAAAGTTGAAATAATTAATATTTACATTGCTTGACTTCCGGGCTCTGGTAACGCATACCCCCGGCGACAGGTGACCTTGACAGGCGACCTCGACAGGTGACCGCGACAGGTGACCTTGACAGGTGACCGCGACGGGTGAACGCCCTGCCTTCTCCCACTAGTGCTTCGCGCACTAAGCCACTATGCGCGCGCCTGGTGTGAGGCGAGGGGCGGACGCTGTCCGCCCCGATGCCGAACACCCTTCCCCCACTAGCGCTTCGCGCACTAAGCCACTATGCGCGCGCCTGGTGTGAGGCGAGGGGCGGACGCTGTCCGCCCCGATGCCGAACACCCTTCCCCCACTAGTGCTTCGCGCACTTCTGAGCCACCATGCGCGCGCCTGGTGTGAGGCGAGGGGCGGACGCTGTCCGCCCCGATGCCGAACACCCTTCCCCCACTAGCGCCACTAGGGACGGGCACAAGGCCCCAGCGTGGGGACCCTGTCCCCACGCTCGGGTGGGCCTTGTTTATCATGCAGAAACTGCAAGGCATGGAGCGCCTCTCTTGCAGGGATGGCAAGCGAGGCCAACTGTCAGCCTGTTTGGGGTCTGCCTCTGCGATAGAGCTACTAAACTAGCATGACAAAAAATGCCTGCTGTCCCTAGACAGCATGACAAACTGGATTTAGACGGCGCCGAAATTTGTCATGCACCGCTTAGAAATTGGGCTTCCAACTGGGATCGACTTTATGCATTACGAGTTATTTCAACGTTGTCGATTTCAATCCTGACACCCCCATACCATGGATTTGTGTTGTACACGGAGACGGACACGGAATCGCACGACGAAATCATCGACGAAATCCCGCTGATCGAGGTGCAGTTTTCCGACCGCACCCTGCTCCGCATATGCATTGCAAATATGTCCGGGTCTGGAAGGATGCAACTTGTGATGCTGTCATCTTTGGATGCTAGAAAAATCTGTATTGCATGACCAGCAAGAGGACTCCAGTTTGTGCTACGCCACGAAAAGGGCATTTGTCATGCGGAAGAGGCATCAGCAAGCCATCTGCAAGTTTGTGATGCTAGGGCGTGCATTACAGACGTCATGGGTAATACAAAACCTGCATGACAAGTCTAGCACTCGTCTTCCAGACCCAGTAGACACATTTGCACTTGATACCGCATCGCCAACTACAATGATTGGCACCGGGGCCGGAAGCACGGCAAAGACCAGGGGCTGCGGCGGTCGATGGACCTCGAGCGGTACATCCGCGACGGGGGGAAACGGTACGTGAAGGAGTACTTCCAAACTGGGACGAACACTGACGGCTCCGCCTCGCCCAACAAGTACCCGTTATCTCCCCTGGTTTCCGGGCACAAAATGGCAGCAGCCTCTACTTCCTCTTCCACTTCCCTTGCGATCTACGACCCGAAGAAGGCCGGGTCGAACCAATTGGTTATCAAGAACGATCCAGCTTCTACGAAAAACCACCGGCTGTACGAATGTGTTTCCTCCTTCTCCGTCCCGGGCCAGCCGAAATTCGTGCTGATCGACAACCCGTGGAAATTCGCCGTGGCTTTACGCAATGCAAAAGCATCGTACTAGTATAGATTGCATTACAAATTGACTTAGCATGACAAATTGAATTTGTAATGCGGATTTGCATAAAGAAAGAGATATGTAATGCATAAACGCAATTAGTACGAGTGCGATACTTTTGCACAGGATAGACTTTGGGCAATGTGGATTTGTTGCAGAAGTTACTCTCCACCTACCCTCAGTACTCTCCCGAGGCGTGTTTGGACGGAAGCCGGATCTACGACTTGCTGTTTTCCCAAGACCCAACGCGGTACGGGCAAATGGCCGTGCAGTTTTCCCGGCAGTCGGCCACGCGGATGTTGGAATTTTTGTTGGCCCACCCGCTGTCCAACCCGCATTGGTTGTTGCACATGCTGCTCGTCTGCTTCCACGAGTCGCAGCAGGGTTCTTACACGTACAATCTGATGACGGGAAAAACTGCGGCGCGGGAGTTGCCGATGGACTATGTGAATTTGATCCTGGCCGCGGTCGGGCTGTCGACAAAACATCGCTCCGTGCGGTCAGATATCCTGTGCAAAAGTATCGTACTCGTATATTGCGATCATGCATTACAAATCTTGTTCTTAAGCAAAATCCGCATTACAAATTTTTTTTTCCCATGCTGAGGAAATAATTTGTGATGCATTTTATATACGAGTACGATACTTTTGCAGTGCATATCGGAGCTGTTTTTGACCTTTGTGCGGAAGGAACAAGAAGCGCAGCAGCGGATGGCGGATCTGCAATTGCAACTTCAAACGTTAGTGGACATGCAGAACGCGGCCGAGGCAATGGGCATTACCGGAGACATGTTTGCGCCGAAGAGCAAGAAGGTATTTTTGAATTTAGTTTATAGAGGAATTGAAATTAAAGTTGATGGATCTAGCTGTTGTACGTATTTTTGAAAAAATTGGGGACAGTTTTTAGTGCTTGACATCAAAAACAGGGTTTGCGGTCGAGTCTGCTTTTCATAAATTTTAGCCTTAGAAGAAATAGAAGATCGATAAAACCACGCAGCACAAGACCTCTTTGAGTACTAAAGCAATACCAAAAAACAACAGCGTTCCGCCGGCATGTCCGAAAAAACCTCCCAGCAACAGAAAGAGCAAGCACAGGACCAGGCGAAGATCGACGAAGTGAAAAAAGCCATTCAGGCGACGAAAGCTCTGAAGGAGCGACTCGCCTGGGGGCTCTACCATCTGATCAACTTGAAGGACAAAATGCACCACAAATTCAACATTAATGGCTCTGTCGCGTTGCCCGACCAGGGCTTGTCCGACCTGTCCCTCCTGTCCGTGTGCGTGGTGCAGCACCGCGAGCCCCAGCGGGCGTACTACCAGAAGACCATCGAGTCCAGGTTTGGCCCGGGGAGCAAGCGGTTGCCGACGGTGTTTGTCAAGCAGGATGGGAAGCAACAGTCGAAATCTGAATACTGGGATATGGCGTTCTCAAACGTTACGCTCTCAACTGTTTTACATGATTTGTCATGCAAAATTATCATCAGCATCTACGCGATCAAGCTGTTCCGCATGACAAATTCAGAAAGGGGTAAATAGCATAGGAATCCTCGAGTTTCCAAATTTGTATTGCAAGAGGCGCAAAATATTCCCGCGGTAATTTTGCTGCTCTTGCATTACAAATTCATGTACCAGTTGAGAATGTAACATTTGAGAACGCCATATGGGACAACCATGCGTTCTCGAACGACGACCCCAGGCCGTTGGACATGGACGTGTTTTGGAAGCCGCTGTTTCTTGTCTTAAACCACGACGATGTCGACGTCAACCACGTTTCTCCTTCCACGGGCAAGACCGCTCTCCACCTCGCGTGCTTGTCCGGGAACGTGGAGGCGGTGGAGTTGCTTTTGAAGCACCCCTTGCTCAAACTCGACATCAAAGCGGGTCACAACGACGGCAGAACCGCGCTCGACATCGCGCTCGACCAGGAAATGCGGAAGGATTTGAACCCGGAAGAGATGCAGCGGCGGATTTTGCTGACTGACATTCTCTTACTGGATTCCCGTATGATGCCAACTATGACGAAAAAGTCTGGAAGGGGAGTGTCCGGCGGAGGCAGTGGGGGTAATGTTTCAGGGGGTCGGTCCTCTGGAGGCGCTTCCAGCTCGAAGGCCAGCCCCAGTTCCTCGCCGAAGCTAAACGCCACGGCGTACATGCGCGCCATCCCCGGGTCCCCGACGGACATGTATCACAAGAAAAAGTGTTAACGTTAACGGTTTTTACAGATTGCGGCCATGCGTCACAAATGTAGCCCAATACGCATGCTATACATGACAAATTTAGGCACGTTTTGTGCTGCGTTGCTGCATTACTTTACAAATTCAAACTCCGTTAATGCTACCACTTTTTCCTGTGATAGCATGATGGTCAGGATCAAGGACAGCCCGGCGACCCCGATTCCGGAGCGCATCAATTTGGTGCGGAATTACGTTTCGAATCTGACAAGCGAGCAGGAGAAGCCGGAAGCCGTGTCCGGGATCGGCTCCGCGTCGAGTTCCTCCTACATGAACTACTCGTCCGGCCTGAGTCCAACGATGAAGGGAAAAAACTACGCATCGTGGTACAACGAGTACGATTTCCAGCTCTTCGATAAAAAATTGGCCGACAACTACGCAGGCGCTGGGCGGAAATTTGGCAGTGTGAAACATCAAGATCAAGAAGTTGAGGACAGGGTTTCGGTCGGCGTTACTGCAAGAACTTCTAACGCGGGGAAGGGAAAAAAGGACAGCAGAGTTTCTGTCGGCTCGAACAAAAGCGCCGCCGGGACTGGTACTGCACCGGCGAAAAGTACAGCGGGAGCTGCAGGTGCGAAGAAGCAGAAGATGGCTACTTCATCCGCGATGAAGAAGCAATCAAAGAAATCTGTTGCAGAAGTAGACGAGTCCTCTGGCAAGGAAATCAATTTCGATGACGAGTACCTGATTCCCGACGACGAATTCTCGAAGTATTCCAAGAAGAAGATGAAGCTGCCGGATGAAGCGCTGGAGAAGGGCAAACTCCCCGACGGCCCGCTGTTTGGGAAATTACCGGACCGCGCGCTGTTCGGGAAATTACCGGACAAACGGCTGGAGCCGAAGAAGAGCGGTGGGGGTGGCGGTAGCAGCTCCATGAAGAAGATGGGTAGTGGTGGTGGTTCGTCCTCGTCAAGTTCGTCTGCCGCAGCAGGGGCCGCTTCTAGCATGAAGAAGATGATGGCCGCCGCTGCAGCAACCCCGATGAAAAAGATGGTGACTCCGATGAAGAAAAAGGCTGTGTCGATGAAGAAAATGATGGCAGCAAGTACGCCGATGAAAAAGAAGATGGCCGCTACCACGCCCATGAAAGCTGCTTCTGCGAAAATGGCCGCCGTCGTGAAGAAGCCTGAGCCAATGAAGAAAATGTCGATGGCTGCTGTGATGAAGATGAAGAAGTCTTCTATGAGCATGAAGAAAATGATGTCGTCTTCCATGAAGATGGCCTCCACCTCTGTTGACGTTTCGGAGAAAATGAAAAGCAGTAATTCTAGTAGCCAAATGAAAATGGCAGCGGCTGGCTCGTCGAGCAGCAGTTCCAGTTCTTCGATCGTGGTTTCCGTTGAGAAGAAAAAATCTACCTCGATGAAAAAGATGTCCATGGCGAAAATGTCTATGGCGAAAATGTCGATGGCGAAAATGTCCATGGCGAAGATGTCTACCAGCATGAAGAAAATGTCCATGGCAAAAATGGCAGCAGCAGCAGCGGTCCCTGCAGCTCCGATGAAGGCAGAACCCAAGAAGCCGGCGCCGAAAATGAAGATGTCCTCATCTATGGCGAAAATGATGAAAGCCGCTGCTCCGGCTCCAGCACCAAAGATGATGTCCATGGCGAAAATGATGAAAGCAACTCCAATGGCCGCGATGAAAAAGTCGTCCTCGTCTACTATGAAGAAGATGATGGAAGCCGCGCCCGTTGCAGCACCGCCAGCTCCGGCCGCCCCCCCGAAGATGAAGTCGATGCAGAAGATGATGAGCATGAAGATGCAGGCTGTGGTCAAGGTTAGTTCTTCGAAGATGAAAATGACCAGCATGAAGAAGATGGCAACTGCTGCTGCTCCGGAAAAGGCGCCGAAGCCCGCCCCGGTCATGAAGATGGCGTCGATGAAAAAAACACCTTCTCCGATGAAAATGGCCATGGCCTCTGCTTCGATGAAAAAGATGGCCGCCGCAGCCCCGTCGATGAAGGCATCGGCTGTTTCAGTGTCGGAAATTTCGAAGAAGATGATGAGCAGCATGAAGATGGCAGCTTCAAAGCCGATGAAAGCAGTCGCGCCGCCTCCTCCGGCTATGAAAATGGTTTCTATGGGGAAAATGAAGGCTTCGCCTTCGGCTTCCACTCCGATGAAGATGGCAGCTGCCTCGTCTTCCAAAAAAGCGTCTGGCGTGTCGGTCTCCGAGACTGCGAAGAAGATGATGAGCAGTATGAAGATGATGGCTGCTCCCACACCCCCTCCGATGAAGATGTCGATGGCGATGAAAGCTAGTAAACCTGTATCACAGGAAAAAGTGTAGTTATCGTTGACGGTTTTCATAGATTGCAAAAATGCATGACAAATTTTGCCTAAAATCCGATGACGCATGACAAATTTTGGCACGTTTTGGAATCCATTTCTGCATCACAAATCCCGTTAAGGTTAACACTTTTTCCTGTGATAGCCTGTCGCTATGAAGAAGGAAGTGGCGAAGAAAGCGGTCGACATTTCGATTTCGGTTTCCAGTGCCGCGAAGGCAAAATCGCCGTGTGAATTGCAAATATGTCTGGGTCTGGAAGAGTGCAGGACTTGTCGTTGTCATCCACATTTCGCATGACTCATGATGTCTGTGATGCATGCCCTAGCATCACAGACTTTTTGGCGGCATTCTGATGCTTATACTGCATGAGAGATGCCCTCTCCGTGTAGCAAGAAATGGACCTCTTTAATATTTGCTGATCATGCAATACAGATTCTGTGTAGAATCCCGAGGCTGCATCACAAGTTGCAACCATCCAGACCCAGACACTTTTGCACTTGATACGCCGGTCATGAAAGCAACATCGCCGGTGATGAAAGCTGCAGCTGCGAAGAGTCCTGCCGTTATGAAGGCTAAAACACCCATGAAGGCTAAAACACCTCCGCCGATGAAAGTGAAAACGACCGTGATAAAGTCCAGCGTGATGATATGGAAGCGTCAGGTTTGAAATCGTCAAAGTTGAAATAATCTGTAATGCATAAAATGCATGACCCGCGGTGCGTGTGTTGCAGAGCAGGCAAGTGAGGCCGATTGTAAGCCTGTTTGGGGTTACAGCTCGAGCTGCTAAAATAGCATGAGAAAATCGCTCTTCTTTGCCTAAACAGCATGACAAACTCGATTTAGGGACCACCGAAATTTGTCATGCGCCACTTGGCAACTGGGTTCCAACTGGCATCCATTTTATGCATGACAAATTATTTCAACTTTGTCGATTTCAACTCTGACACATCCATAGATGAAAAAGCCTGCGAAATCGCCGATGAAGGCGCCGACACCAGCCATGAAAGCAAAATCGCCCATGAAGGCCCCCGCTCCACCAGCCATGAAAGCAAAATCCCCCATGAAGCAGGCTGCTACACCCGCAATGAAAGCTGCGCCACACCCGAAGTCGCCAGTGATGAAATCCGCAGCGAGCAGCAGTTCTTCTTCAAGCTCGTCGTCGAAAGGCGGGAAAAAGGACACAGACTGGCTCACGGTTTTGTTCAAGAAGATCAACAAGTCGGGCTCCGGCGCGCTGAATTACAAGGAATTCTTGAACGCGGCGAAGGGAAAGAACAGCAAGGACGGAAAATTGCTTACGGCGTTGACCTCAAGGGTAAAGAACGAGGGGAAGAAAAAGTAAGTAAGCGCCACGGCCACTCACGGCGGCGTGCGATTGAAGTATTATTAGGTTATGTACGGACAACATTTGAATGATGAGTTTGAATTTTGTATTAAGTGTTTTTATTTCATCTGTATGATTTCTTTTGTAAAGGCAAGCTACACAAGTTTTGTGTCCTCTTCGAGGAAGTAAAGAGGAGCACGCCAAAGCATTCAAGCCTTATCGTGGACAGTAAAATTCTAAATCCGAGCTATCTTCGCTATTGCCGTTTTTTTATGAATTTAAACAACACACTTTTATGTTAATGTTTACAGCACGCATGACGCTGTACTTGTCACGAGCGGACCGCATGTTTTTTCAGTTTTAACAAGCAACACAATTACAACCAGTATCGAAACCTCCGATGAATTACAGAACTTCATATCGAAATCGAGCATATTTTCAACATAATTACCGTTACGAGCATTCATTTTTGGTCTTGTCAAGAATCTTGACAGGACGCACTGATTTGTTTTCAAAAACTTACCATATAGGGAGGTCTCGCAGGGGGCCGTACCAAAAATATTATACTTCTGTAGAAATACCGTCTGGATCTGGTTTATTGCAATGTAGTAGGAGGTTCACAAAAAATCATCTACAACCAGGTCGAGAGGTCAGAATTGTCACAAGCGGAAAAAGTAATAAAAACTCAAAATTTCACTTTTACCCGAAATAACGCACGTCTGGCACACTGTAAAAAATCTGGCTACAACGCTCCGACGGCGGATTTGATTGAAATTTCCCGCAAGGTCGAAAGATGAACCTGCACTTCTGATGAAAAAAATATAAAAAACAAAACGCCGGTGCCCGGAGCTGACAAGGCTACTTTAACAGACGACCCCGTGAGCAGGATATGTTGATCAGGTCTGTGTAAATCTCACGGATGATAAATTTGTTCCGCACTGGAGCTGTGGATGTGGTGATGATTGCGTTGCAGTTGCTTCACAGCACTGTGTGCTGTTGTCTACGTCTAGTGAATTACTTTCCGACATTTCTTCAATCCCAGCAACACAGCGACCAAGCAATAGTACTGCCAATGTGAATGTCTTGATGAGCGACGTAATTAAGGGGGTAGAAGATTGAGCAGGCACCATATTTGTGCACGACACGGAAAGTACCGCCGTAAAAATGCACGATACAGTAGCTAAAGTAATTCTACCATCTGGAAATTGAGTGTTGTGGTAGCAGCTGTTGAGTAAAGTCTTTTTTTCATACGTCATGTTCAGTAGCCCCATTCTTTGCACAAGAATATCAGTGATCTTAAGTAAACCGTTGTGGTTGCTCCATGAAGGAGAGCCATCGGCAGATACCGAAAAGAACGACATCACACCACCTAGGTTTGTTGACGAAAATTGCAAGAACGGGCGTTATTCGCCAAAAGTCTCAACAGTCATAAAAAAGAGAAAATCAAGTAAATGGGTAGTCACGAGCACTCGCACGGCGAGAAATCCGCCCACGCGCACGTGCACGGTTATTTCGCCAAGCAGGGTTTCGGGCACAACCACAACGCAGCCGGGAAGACCAAGCATAAAGACGGCGCAGGGATAAACAACAGGGATTTGACCGAGCAATTGCTGGAAGTGGAGGAGATTGAAGATTTAACGCAAGATAATGTACAACTTCCATCTCCGACCACTGCAACAAAACAGAAACACGATCATGGGCACAGCCATGGTCAGCACAAGAAGCCGGGGCACAGTCACAGCCACGGGGAAGCAGGTGCCGACAAAAAGATGCCAGAACTGGTCTTAGTTCCGGTCGTGAATAAACCCGCGCCGGTAGCTACCTGGCCTGCAGATTCCACTGCAAACGATCACCACGCACACAGCAACCCCAGCGATCTCTCTTCAGAGGAAAAAGACGAAGCGAAACGACTCCGACTGTCCATTGGCTTCTATCACAGGAAAAAGTGTTAACGTTAACGGTTTTCACAGATTGCAGTCATGCATCACAAATGTAGCCCAATATGCATGCTATGCATGACAAATTCTGACACGTCTTGCGATGCATTTCTGCATCACAAATTCCGTTAACGTTAACACTTTTTCTTGTGATAGCTTCGCGCTCTTCTTCATGCTGTGTGAATTGTTCGGTGGGTACATCGCGAACTCCGTGGCGATCATGACCGACGCGGCACACTTACTAGCCGATGTTGGTGGGTTGTTTGTCTCGTTGATGGCGGTTTCTTGGACGAGTAGGATTGCAACAGAGGAGTACACCTATGGATACCACCAAGCGGAAATCGTCGGGGCGTTTTTGTCCATCGCAATGGTCTGGATTTTAACCGGCGGGCTGATTGTCGAAGCGTGGGAAAGGTATTTATTATGTATTAAACGATGATGTTGATGTTCGGTGAGAACGATGTAGTTGACGCGCACTACCATTTCTTGCAACATATTTGTATGGAGGAAACAACGCTCGAAGTCACAGCGTGGAGATGAAATATTTTGGATGAGCAGTCAATGATTGAAGATTCATCTGGAAACACCATCAACACGACAGGATACAAAATCCAGCGGAAATTCGTGGCGATTTGATGTTTGGAATAGCAACGCTTGGCCTGATAGTCAATCTGATTCTCTTCAAACTCCTCGGTCACAACCACGGCCACGGCGGGGGCCATGGACATTCTCATGGCGGTTCTGCGCACGGACACGCTTGTGCTGCGTCGTCCCATGGACACTCGCATGGCAAATCATCTTCACATGGACACTCACACGAGGCAGCAGGACATGGACATTCGCACGGGAAAAAAAAGGCGGAGTCCGACCATGGTGATCATGACTGTTGCGGCCACGATCACGGTGGAGGCGACCACGATCATGGTCATTCACACGGCGCCGGGGGACACGGTCACTCGCACGGTAGTCACGGAAATAATCACGGACATTCTCACTCATCCCACTCACATGGCGACAAAAAACATCACGCCCATCACGAAGACGACCACGATTTAGAAAAAGGCCCATTAACGGACTATTTGAAGAAAGATGGGGGTAAACGTAAACAACACGCCACTCAGGCCGGCGCATCCGCAGGTACTTCTAGTAAAAAAACTACCGCGAGAACTATTACAACTACAACTTCTTCCCCTTACAACTACTGTACTCATCAAAACAACACTGCTTTTACAACGGCGCGGCAGTGGCAAAAAGCGAGCGCGCGGTGGCCTCTGGCAAGCGCTCTCTGGCAAGCAAGGCAGGTCGCGAGGTTCTGTGCGAAAGGAAGTGGAGGCTAGTTCGCTAGGGCGCCCGACTGCTGCTGCTGTTCTTGCGCCGCTGCGCCCAGGATCGTGCGGGATGAAATAGGATGGTGGACAGGGAAATTATGGGCATGAGGAAACTGGCCGACAAAAAGCTCCTGCAGCGAAGATGTCACTGGCATCATGCAAACCCTGCTGGCTAGCGCGACGTCTACGGAAAAAATCGTCCCGCTGCCGCCGCTGCTGCTGCTGCGCCCTAAGTAAAAGTAGCGCTTTTTCCCTCCCGTCAAATGTAAAACTACATCGTTTCTACACGTGCATGTCTCGAAAAAAACATGCTTTATTGATCAAAAATCGTCAAACTCAACCTAAAATCAAACACTAAGGAGGGGCTGAATCGGTGGAGCTTGTGGCAACTGGCAATAGTACCAAGCACGGGCAACATGAACATGGACACTCCCACGGAGGAGGACCATCCGCTGCGCACAAGCACGACCATGGCCACAGTCACAGTCACGGTCACCACGGGCATCATCACAGCGACCACGGCCATTCCCACGGAACTACTCCTGCTGCACCTCCCGCCCCGGCAAGCTCCTCTGCAGAAGAGACTTTCTTCTCTTCCTCTTCCTCCTCCAAAGCGACAAACAACGACCACGGCCACAGTCACGGCGCCCATAACCACCACAAGAACTCCTCCGACGAGCACGACGAAGTTGACGAGCCAATCGACCACGAGGCCCAGTATCAACTGCAAGTATGTCTAAGTAGGTCTGGAAGGATGCAACGTTTGTCATGCTTGTCTGGCATGACTGAAGAGTTTGTGACGCGTGTCCAACAAGAGTAGAGATAGACCCTTTCTCTTGTGATGAAAAAACGCAGCCTGTGCTGCGGAAAGCGCAACACTGACCCGCGCAAATATTTCTCATGCGTGACTCTGCATTACAGAGCATTCACCATTCACGACTCAGCATTACAGGTTTCCAGACCCAGACATATTTGCAATCCATACCCAGCAGTCCCTAGCCATGCGAGCGGCGTTCATCCACGTAATAGGAGACTTAATCCAGTCCGTCGGGGTCATCATCGCGGGGGCGTTGATCTACTTGAAGCCGATCAACATCGGCTACACGGAATATGACAGTGCACAACTCCCCCTCGTTCTCATTTCTCATGCAAAATCGACAATTCCAGCGGGTGCAGCCTTGTATCACTGTTATGCATGACAAATTGTTCCGGAAGCTGATGAAACAGTACTACTACGCTAGGCTAGGCTAAGGAACTTGTCATGCACTGGCTCCACGTGTGGTGGTGTTTGTATTGCTGTTCATGCCATAGTACAAATGAGGGGGAGAGGAGGCAGTTGTGCACTTTTATACGGAAAACGGGGTGTCGAATTGGAACTACGCCGACCCAATGTGCACATTCCTCTTCGCGGTTTTGGTTTTATTAACCACGATACGTATTGCAAAAATATCGTACTAGTATAAATTGCATTACAAATTTTGGCAAGAAGGAAAGTGGAATTTGTAATGCTGTTTGCCTTGGGAAAAAAAATTGTCATGCATATTTGCAATTAGTACGAATACGATACTTTTGCACAGGATACACGAAAGACACGGCGGTGGGGATTCTCGACTCGGTGATGATGAAGTCACCGGCAAATCTCTCCACGAAGAAGGTGAAAAGAGCGCTGGAGCAAGCGTCGAAACACGTTTCCTGTATTCACGACGTGCACCTTATCCACAGAAAAAAACACGACCCATCCCCATCCAATTTGTGATGCAAAACACGAATAGAGTCCTTCTCCTTTGTTTGTCATACAGAAAATGGATGGCGGTGGATTTATTTTTTCTGTGGATACACATCTGGTCTGTCGGAACGATGCCGTGTTTCACCTGTCATGCGGTGGTGGAGTCTGGGGATTACTGTGGAGAGGTGTTGCGGGATTTAACCAACATGCTGGAGGAGAAATTCGGGATTTATGCATTGCAAAAGTATCGTACTAAGTAGTAGTAATCGCGTTACAAATTCACTCAGCATGGTGCCAAAGAAATAGAATTTGTCATGATGTTTTACCTTAAGAAGAAGATCTGTCATGATGCATAATTGCAATTACTACGAATGCGATTATACTTTTGCAATGCATAGGATTGAGCACACGACGATTCAGCTGGAAGTCGAGGGGGAATTTGACCACACACAGGAGAAGTACGGGGGAATACACGGGCAAACGGACTTCCACACGAATGAGTGCTGCCGGTTGAGCTCGCCAAGCGGGTCGGTCAAGGTTTCCTCGTCGCCGGTGGAAGTGTAGTTTGGAACGACGACGACAACGAGGAGCTTCCGGATAAGTCGACAGAAAGAGGGGCGGCGCGAAGTAGACGGTGGTATTGCAGAGGAAGCAGATAACTACAGATGAAGATTCTCATTCTTGTTATCATCGAGAGTGATTCGTTCAAAGTGGTAGTGGTTGTTTGACTTGTTCACACGAAATAGCAGTACTTACGTAGGAAACATGAGGAGCAGCTGTACTTTTATTACAAAAGCAGCAGGACTACAAACAGTAACAGTTTGAGTTTTGGTTTTCCAACTTCTAAAACGAAAAATTACGCTTTTATGTTTCTTGAGTGGTTATTTTGGTTTTCGTTTTTCAAAAGAATTCAGACACAGACGCACTGTAAAACTTTTGATGAAGAACCTCGATGGTTTCATTCACTTATTCGAATCTGACGCGAACAAGTGAAAATGGAAAATCTTCTCAGCCCTGAGGCCGGACCCTTAACTGTGACACAGCAAAGAGTCAGCACGTATGTGCTAGTTTGCGAGAAGAAGTGACCGATGGGCACGATAAGCCGTTCTTCAATCTGGCGCCAGCATTTATTCCCGGACACAACTACAACAAACAAGATAAGAAAGGCGCGTAGTACGCAGATAAAGGCTCAACCGGCCGTGCTGTCGCAGTGGTTGCTTTCCGAAGAAGTAGTCGGATGTTCGTTCTTGGATTAGATCCGGAAATATTATATTCTTTTGTCGTGATCATTCTTTGTAGCTCCGCCGCAACGTGTCGCCATAAATCGAGCCACCGTCGAGGTTCCGAAGGTGGGCGAGGGCGTTGACCCCCCCGCGGCCCCGGGCGTAGCGCAGCGGGCCGTAGCGAGCGGCAGGGATGTCGGTGTGCAACACCTCGGGGGAATGGGGTGCTCTGGCCTACCCCGGCGAAAGCGTCGCGCCGGTCTGAGATATGCGAGCGACCGAGCGCTAGGCTTTTGCCGCTTCCTCGCATTCGTTGGCACGAGCATCGCCATGCGCCCCGCGCCTGCGTGTATTCATGGGGGGGGGGCGCATATTGGCCGGAACCCGGGGGCGAGCAATCAGCGCAGCCAAGACGGTGGGGAGCGCGATGGAAGCGTTTGCCGGTTTGGCATTTCAGGCGACCAGGGTCGGCGCCGCCCGCGCGGGGGGCCGGCCGGGATCGACCCGCCCGAGGCCCGCCGGCGACGCGTGTCTCTCTCTGCCCCTGGGTGGTTCGTTGGGCCCGGGGCCTTGTGGTTGTTCCGCCTGGTTCCAAAGCCCGGGCGGCCGCGCCCTCGGCCGGATCTGGGGTTGGTATGTAGGCAACCAACGAACCCCCCACCGGGGCCGGCCGGCCCGGGCCGGCAGAGCCGGCAGGGCTGGCTCGCTGCAACTGGGGGGGGGGGCGGGCGGTTCCGCGCCGCCCGGCCCCGGGGGCGGGCCTGCCGGCCTGCGCCCGCTCTGGAAGCCCAGGCAGCGTCGCAGCGGGGCCCGCGCGCGCCCGCAGTTTGTTTGTCGTCGGGGGGGCGGGGCGCCCGCCACCCTCCATTCAGCGAAGGTTGGTAGGCGGCGCGCGCGGGGCTGGCGTTCCGTCTCCGAATATATAACGATATCAAAGACGCTGACGCCGGGGAAGATTTGCTGAATTGCTAAAACGGCCTCGCAGTTTCGGCGTTTGACCGACAGGCGTCTGCGGGTGTGTTTCGCGAGCTCCTTCAGAAGTCCGACGCGTTCCTGTTTGTCTGGCAAGGCGCGCCGCGCCTTCTGAGCAGCATGCGTGGGGGGTTGGCAGGCGCCCGATGGGCCGCCGGCCCGAGCCGGGCGAGAGAGCGGGCGCGTGGTGGATTCATTGCCCCCGCGGTGCTGCCTGCAGTGCAGGCCCCCCGCCCCCTCCCGCGCGCCCGCTTGCCTGGCGGCCTTGGTGCCCGCCGCCCGCCCCCCCCGCCCCTTTTGGCAGGCGCCCGCCATTCTGCCCGGGCCGGGTCGTCGGCTTCGTTTGTATGTTGGTTGGCGTGCAAAGTCCTCTGCTTTTTGTTCGGCGGGCTACCAAGGGCGCTGGGCAGAGAAGTAGCTGGCGCGGCCGGTGTTTCGTGTTGCCGCGGTCTCTCTAGCGTATTGGCATGCCCACCAACACGCCGTGGGCTGCGCCTGTGTTAGATTAAAGCAGCCAGTACACCAATCCGGGGGTTGGAATGGGGTAGCGCCGCCCTCGTCGTTTGCTCCTAGTGTGCGTGGTTGCCAGCGAGGCAGGTTTCGCTTGCAGGCCCTTCCCGTCCTGAGTGCCCCGGTGTCGGCTTGCCTGCGTGAAGGCAAATCTTAGCTTGCCGCCCGGACGAGGGTGGCGAGCTCATCGACCCTATGAGCAGCAGTGGCAGCAGCTATGAGTCGCAAGAAAAGCTTGGCGCACCCAGCACATGCAATGCCCCGCACTTCTGGCTCTTGTGTGATCGATGTGGCGTGTTCTGTTTGGTCGGTCGGAAATCGGCAGTCAGCGGCGCTTCCGATGGGTGTGTGCGCTGGAGAGAACCCTTGCCCAATCTCAGTTTGTAGTGGTATGCTTTTGGAATTCGCCTAATTAGTGAGCAGTTTTTTAGGGCGGTACTGGCAAGTGCGCGAGCTGCTCGGCATGCAAAGTAGTCGCCGAGGACCGTGCTCGTCTATAGTACTACCAGCGAGGAGGAATATCGAATCCCCGCCAAAATGCAAGCGCGAGCGAAGATGTAGCAAAAATTCAAGCAAAAAAATTTGAAGTTTGAGCGAAGCATCAGCGGAAAGAAAATTTCCCACAGCTAGCGCTCAAAGTAGACCACCCGTCTCGTCACCAGCTTTGCTAGTAAGCTGTGGTCTGGGAAGATTTTCGTGCTGGAAAACCGGTTCTTCTAAAACATCATCACCATGAACTTCTTCGAGTCTCTCGGCGAGTCACTGCAGCTGACCCACGCGGTGAAGCGTGAAGACCTGCGCCCGGGCGACCACATTTACGTCTACCGGATGATGTTCACCTACAGCCGTATGCAAGGCAAATTTCCTTTACACGACGTTCGATATGCATCACACATTTCGCCACTTGAGAGCTGCATGTTGCGACTTGTCATGCTGAAAAGGATTAGCTTTAGTGTAGCCACGAAAAGGTTTGTCATGCAGCAGATGCCGCAAATGTTGTGCGTGTATAAGGAAATAATTTGCTTTCGATAAGCCACCACGGCATCGTAGTCGCAGTTGTTCAACAGCAACAGGTATCAAATGTAAAAATGTCTGGGTCTGGAATGTTGGAACTTGTAATGCTAACTTTGGACTCTAGAAAAATCTGTATTGCATGACCAGCAAGAGGAGTCCAGTTTTTGCTACGCGGGGAGGCCATTTGTCATGCGGAATACGCATCAAGAAGCACTCAGAAAACCAGTGATGCCTGGGAATACATCACAGACGTCACAGGCCATGTAAAAATCTGCATGACAAGTTCGCATCCTTCCAGACCCAGACATTTTTACAGTTGATAACAGGAGGAACAAGGCGCGCCTCCGCCTGAAGCTGACGTTGGTGTTGATGCCAGATCAACATCATCTACTTCTGCAACCGCCGCCGTGTCTGCGTCGGCTAAACAAACGAGACCTGAAGTGTACGTGGTCCATTTCAGCTATAAAGTGCAAAAGTGTCTGGGTCTGGAAGATTGCCAGGTTTGTCATGCATATTTTGCATGATCCATGTCGTCTGGAATGCAGGACCTAGCATGACAGATTCTGTGAGATCCCTATCATGCCTATCCTGCTTGAGAAACTTCCTCTCAACTTGGTCAATAGTGGACGACTTTTGGCATTCATGCAACACAGATTTTTGCACGATCCAGAATTAGCGTTACAAGTTCCAACCTTCAGACCCAGACATATTTGCAATGCATATCAGCATGGACGGTGTAAAGCTGGACACGCTGAAAGACTTCATTTGCGGCGGATTGTTTTACAGCGGAAACAGCGAGGGTACAACTTCATCGGCCACGAAGATAAACAAAAAGAAGGAGAAGAAGAGAAAAAAAGCGGCAGCGCTTCGGGCGGTCAATAGCTCTCCGGAGTTGATGTCGCCTACTTCCGCATCTTCATCGAGACATGTGGAGGCAGTTGCAGGGCCAACTGGTCGTAGCGCAGGAGGAGGAGCGGCGAAAGAAGCAGATGTCGTACCAGCGTCAGATGAGAATCAATCAGATCAACAAGACCTGCTTCAAAACACCGACGAGTTCGCGGACCACAATTTGATCGACGAGGTTCTGATCGGCACTACCATTCGTCGTGTGAAATACAATATGCAGTGCAAAAGTATCGTACTCGTATAAAGGCATTACAAATCTCCTCAGCATGAGAAATAAAATTTGTAATGCTGATTTGCCGTGAGAAGAAGATTTGTAATGCATGATTGCAAGAATACGAGTGCGATACTTTAACTTTTGCACAGGATACACAACGCCGGTACCATCGAATCCTTCATGAAGCGTATGGGTGTGTCAGAATCGAAATTGAGAAAGTTGAAATGATAATGATTTGTAATGCATAAAATGCATAGCGCGAAATACGTGTGTTGCAGGGCAGGCAAGCGAGGCCGATTGTGAGCCTGTTTGGGGTTAGAGCTCGAGCTGCTAGAGTAGCATGAGAGAATCTGTCTTCTGTGCCTCAACAGCATTACAAACTGGATTTCGGCACCACCAAAATTTGTCTTGCGCCACTTAGCAACTGGGTTCCAACTGGCATCCATTTTATGCATGACAACTTTGTCGATTTCAAACCTGACGCTTCCATAAAGCGCTCCGGCACAGTTTCCGACAGAAAAAGGTCCCCGTGGTTCGTCACTGTTTTACGGGCGGTAAGCATGGTCGAGGTGACACCGGAGATGAAGGAGTTAGAGTACGATTTTTTGGAAAAAAACTGCGAGTTGTTTTGCGAATATTGTTATCCTGTGCAAAAGTATCGTACTCGTACTGCAATAATGCATCGCAAATCTTTCTCTTCAGGGAAATCAGCATTACAAATTTTATCCCACATGCTGCGGAAATTTGTAATGCATTTATACGAGTACGATACTTCTGCAATTCATAACTGTGCCTGCGGGCCGCCTGAAAATGCCGTGGTGGAGGAGGAAGATATGCCGGAAGGTGGGTTATATGCATTGCAAGTGTACTATCGCACTCGTACTAATTGCAACTGTGCACGACAAATCTTGTCCTTAAGGTAAAACAGCATGACAAAGTCCAGTTCTCATGCTGAGAAAATTTGTAGTGCATTTATACGGGTGCGATACTTTTGCAGAGAATAGGTTGAGGAGCAGGTTAGAGGAGGTGATGGAAAAAGACCATCAAAGTGGCGAAGGCGATCGCGACAGTGACTGTTTGCAGCCTGGTTGTACTAGCAGTCACATCACGCCGAGATCAAACGCCGTGGACAACATGAAGAATATGCCCCAGTCCTTAGTGCCCGTGGGCACAACCGGTCCGCTCATGTTGCTCTCCGCAAATGGGGAAGATACGAGTGGTACTACCAGCACCGCTAATGCAGGCGGGATTGAGGCGCTGGCAAACAATAATTCCGAAGTAGGAGCTCTACCAGATGCAGAAGCAACTGCCGGTGCGAGGACCCAGCCAACTACCGAAACATCAACCTCTAGCACAGCGACATCCACCGCCAGACGATCCGGGCCTCTGTTCAATTTCGCGGCGGGCTACGAGATGCTGTTTTCATCTTCAAAAAACAAAGATGCCGAAAACAAAAACGAAGAGGAGACTCTCGCGGGAAAGAACTACAAAGATGCAGACGCAGGTCCTCTGCCGTCACAAAAGAACACGACGAGCACTACAACAGAAGTGGACCGCGCTTCTAAAGTAGAACAAATGGCCATCCAGCGGCGGAAAGTTCGCTTTCGCGAGTGGAAGCAGCGGTCGCAACAGACGAAAACGGAATCCATTCTGAAAACTGCGGCGATCGGTGGCGCAACCGTCGCTGCAATCGGCGTTGCCGGCGTGGAGTTACTCGGAATGGGGATGGTGGTCGGGCTCTTAGCCGGGGCGGGAGAGGCGCTGAAAGGCGGGAACAAGGAGACAGAGGCGGAGAAGGCGAAAGAGAAGCCCGCGGCGCTGGAGGGTGGTAGTGCAAGTGCTACTGTTAGAGACAATGACGCCAGCAGTCCGAAGACGAAGCAGCGGAGGAAAAAAGCGAGCTCGTGGGACAACTACGATTTGGCTGATAGCGAAGAAATATGCAACATTGCAAAAAATATGTCTGGGTTTGGAAAAATCAATGCCAAGTTTGTCATGCTGTGCTAGCATGAGTGTCAAGTCTGTCATGCGAGGTACCCAAAGCCGCCACTTTTGTGTCATGCAAAAACCCAGTTTCTCATGCAGAATAGGCAACACCTACACCTAGGTAGCGACTCAAAAACCTGTCATGCTGAGCCGTCATTTCTGGCGCTCTCGTGATTCGCCAACCAGCATCACAAGTTTCCAGACCGAGACATATTTGCATTTCATAAGAAAGTGAAGAGTGCGTGCTGGTCGAGGAGGACATTGATCTGCGAGTTGCCGTATCAAATGTAAAAATGTCTGGGTCTGGAAACTTGTGATGCTGGGTGGCGTCTCATGATGAGGCCACAAGTGCTGGCTCAGCATGACAAGTTTCTGAGCTTCTAGGTGTTGCCGATTCCGCATGACAAACTGCGCTTCTGCATCACAGAAAAACTACGGAGCTCTTGAGCAACGTGCATGAGAGATTTAAGAGTCATGCCAGACAAGCATGACAAACATGCACTCTTCCAGACCCAGACACTTTTACACTTGATATGCCGGAACGATGAACGCACCAGCTTCCTCAAGTTCCAACTCGAGAAAATCTCCGTTCGGCGCAGCCACGACTAGCAGCAGTGCGGGAATAAACAAGAAGAACCTTGATCATGACGAGGCCAAGAATGGTCGTGCACAAGATGCGCGGCTTACTTCGAAGAAAACAAGTAAACTGAAGACAAGGGAGAAAGACCGACTTTTGAATAATCCGGAGAGTCCGATCCTTCTAGAAAGTCCGAGGTCCGATGAAGCTGCTAAAGATACTAGCAACACTCCCTTGTCTAGCAGGAGCAACACCCCAAGATCGAAAGCGGATAGGGAGAAGAGACGACAATATGCAATGCAAAAGTATGGTACTCGTATAAATACATTACAAATTTCCTCAGCATGAGAAATGAAATTAGGATTTGCTTTAAGAAAAAAATTTGTAATGCATGACTGCAATTACTACGAGTGCGATACTTTTGCACAGGATCGACAAGAGAAGAAGTTGAGGAAGGACGAGCGGACTAGGGGAAAAATTGCGCCGGCGGGAACATCAAATAAAGACAGCCCTGCTCGTAGTCGTAGTCCCGCAACTTCTTGTTCCCCAGCCGCAGCTCCTGAAGATGAGACAAGCACTTATCATAGGGAAAAATCCCCCTCCCCATATTGAGCAGGTATGCTTACGAAAATTTGTGTTGCTGATTTGAGGTCACAAACCGCATTTGTCGCGCAAGAAGGCAAGGGCAGAGGCTTCCGCCCCATTATGGAAGCGATTTGCCATGCTGTTGGGCCTAAAGGGGAGCCGTTTGCCACGCTGAACAACTAGGCCCGTACGCCCCTACGTCGCCTGGGAATCTGGCCGCGGTGCCTCTCTGCAATACAAGGCTGGTTTGTGTACACAAATCGAGCATCAGAAATTCCGTTTTGATATGGGGAGGGGGGATTTTTCCTCTTAATAACACTCCTGCCTTCACCACCGCCGACTGCCTCCGCGCGCTCTGGCGCGAACTATCAATTGCAAAAGTATCGCACTCGTAGTAATCGCAGTTATGCATTACAAATCTAGTTGGTTAGGTAAATCCGCACTACAAATTTAATTTGTAATGCTGAGCTAATTTGTATTGCGATTTGTACTAGTGCGATGCTTTTGCAGTGCATACGAACTGGGGATTGGCAACATCGATTTGATGTTGACGGACGTCGAAGCTGTCGTGTTAGCGGACATGCTGGCCGAGGCTTGCGAGCCCGATTCGGCGTACGTGACTTCAGCCTCTACTTCTGCGACGACGAACAAACGACCTTTGTCATCTATGGATGTGCCAGGATCGAAATCGCCAAAGTTGAAACAGTTTGTCATGCATGATACCGATACCAGTCGGATGCCCACTTATCAAGCGGCGGATGATAAATTTTCCGAGCACCGGAGCAATCCACTTTGTCATGCTGCTTGGGCACAAAGGACTGCTTTTGTCATGCTACTTTAGCAGCTCTACTTCAAACCCTAAACAGGCTGGCAGTCGGCCTCACTTGGCATCCCGGCAAGACAGGCACTTCATGCCTTGCATTTATATATATGCATGACAAATCATTTCAATTCTGACGATTTCGATCCTGACACTCCCATATCATCTTCGGCGGAGGTAATGCGGTCGTCTTCTGGTGGAAAGGAAGCAGCTGTTGTAGTAGACACATCCGAAGAAGAGGCACTGATAAGACTGCAAAGGGCTCTGCATCTGTTCAAAGATTTGCGGGAGACCTGATTGATAAACCCGCGGTGGCACCAGAGGCCGCGTTTCTTCGTTAACTGAGTCTCTGACTTCCGCTGCTACTGAAAAATCAACAATAAGACTCATGGTTTCGGTTTCAACAACATCATCTAATCTTGCTTGCGGCACCAGCAAATTGCCATGATACAACTTCTGCTTCTTGGTCCGCTGAGGTCCTACGCATCCCTTTTTCCTCAGGCCGTTGGGAGGAAGCGGAAGGCCCGTACTACTAGTACAAGAAGACATGCGCTAAAAGTACATAATTTGTCAGCTTATTACAATGGAGTACGTTCCAAAATTGCACCAAGGCATTTTTTCGTCTCAGCGCCGGCGCAAGGTGCGGCTGCCCTCCTCCAACACAACTAGAGGTCGCATTTTCAATTTTTCATTGGGCATTTTTCCATAGTGTTGAATTGCTGCCCAACTTAAAAAAATTGCCTCGAAATCCTTTTTCGGCCTCTCAGCGAGGGCGAAAAATGCGGCTGTCGTCGAGCGCTAGAGGGCACATTTTCCGATTTTTTAAGGCATTTTACAGACAGGGGATACATTTGGGGTTGTTTATTTTCCAAAATCGCCGCAAAGTTTTTTTTTGTCCCAGCGCGCGGCGGCGCAAGGTGCGGCTGCCCTGCTACAGCGCTAGAGGGCGCATTTTGTGATTTTTTTCTTCAATTTGTAACGGCGTATCGCTGCCCATTTTTTAAAAATTGGCCTAAAATCCTTTTTCGTCTTAGCGGCGCAGCAAGGTGCCGCTGCCGCCCTCCAACACGACAGCGTAGATTTTTCAATTTTTTTCCCCAATTTTTCAAATACTGGCCCTGGTGCCCAATTTCGCAAAATTGGTTCAAAATCCTCGTTCGTCTCAGACCTTCGCTTTGCATGTGAAGAGGGCCTCTGTCCGCCGAGGAGGTGGCAGTCGAAGTTTTTTGTACTAATTTTCGCAGCGCACAAGATAGAAGAAGGAGCTCTCGTCTAAGATCGTCTCAGCAAAATGCGATCATGTAGTTAGCGGCGTACATCAATTACACTTCGTAAAAAGTAAAAGGGCCACCACCGAAGGGGAGAGGTCAGCCGCGTGCATGCCGTCGAACGAAGATGGCATGCTTGTTGTCGCTCCACAAACCGCAAAGCCCGCGCACCTAGGTAGGTGCGCGGTGGTTGTTCAGGGTAGTGGGAGTGGCGTGGTAGTTGTATAGCGGGCGTCAGCTGTTCAAGATAAAACACAGACGCAGGGCACCGCGCTGCCCAGGGGCAGCAGCAACACGCTGCGCGAGAAAGCGGAGCGACAACAGCAGCAGTATGATGCTAGCAGCGGCCTGACGCCCCTGGGGTCGTTTTTTTTCGTCGTTTTTCGCCGCGCTTTTGAGGCTGCGTCACGAGCGTGCTCTTCGTCATGTCGAGCATGTGAAACGCCGCGCCTTCCATGCTGACTCAATCCGTGAAAACCAGAAAAATAACGCAAAATCCGACTGGTAATTGCCGACTTTCTTTGGGACAGCACACACGGACAGACTTGTCGAGTTAGAATCTACACGATGGCGAAAATGAAGTGTGCTTGATTTCTTGAGTGGGGAGAACGAAGATGTGAATAAATTTGAGTGGACGAAAAAACGCACTACATTTGAGAGCGAATTTTAAAATTTTGAGCAGGCGATAGTTGATGAACGAACTGCCTGTGGCGGGAATATTAAAACAAAGGGTTTTCACCGCTATCAAACAAGAGGGACTTGCTCTTGAGTGATGACCTTCCTTGCATCTTCTACATAATTTAGAAGTACTTATTTAGTAAAATAACAATTTACAACGAGAAAGAGCCCACCTTTGATGCTCGACGAATGCTCTCTTCCAAGAACGACCGCCGCAGCCTGGTCGTGCAGTACCATATTTTAATTCGAAATCCGTAAATACTTATTTTGTTCTGCACGAAAACTACAAGAAGATGGTGCGCAAGCGGCCGCGGGCGGAGGTGCATCAGCTCCCGCCCGGTCGCGACACATGACTTATCCGGTCCTCCAGACGTCAACTACTGCCTGGTACTCGAGACGACGTGAGTGAGCTTCTAGTTCCAAGTGTGGGTCGTGCTGCAGCTGCAGCAGGCGCAGCTGGAGGGCTAGCTGCTGCCGACGGACGGTAAAGGCAGCCGCACCTGAAGAAGACGACCGGCCGACGTATGAATTGCAGCAAACCAAGTATCGTACTCGACGTACAGCACGTGTATACTTGCCATGCCGCATGACAGATCTGTTTTTTGTGATATCTGAACGCGCATGAGGACAATGGGCATTTTGGTTCTTGAAAAATATATTTCTAAGAATGCAATTACAACTACCTAGTGCGATGCCGGTACTTTTGCAATGCATACCTCGGGAGGTCGTGCTGCAACATGGCAGCCATCCGTGCCGTGTTGCGGTATGTCCGAATGAATGTGTACCCACACCATAATCTGTAATGCCTTGCTTGGCGATAGCGATTCATCCTTCGGGCATGACAGTAAAAACTGGCCAGCATCATGCACAAGAATTCGATTGACGACTCCTACTCCATTTTTATTTGGTCTTCCTCGGAGTGGAAGTGAGGCATAACATAAGCAAATCAGGATTTTTGCTGCAGCTTGATGTGATGATAACGATGATCATGCAGACAGGAGATGAACCTCTGAGTCTGATGTTGAAGATCTTCCTGAGCGTGGGAGGACGGGTCGGGACGAGAGCGAGACACATGCAGACGTGTCATCTTGCAACATCCTCTGTAAATTCATGCTTTGCAGCTCCAAGCAACTAACAGCATTACATTTCGTGACGAAAATTTTGGTACGGGTCGCATTTTCATACCTATACCCTGGCTTCCGGACCCACGAAGAGTCGGGTGCCGGGGTCCGATATCCTGTGCAAAAGCATCGTACTCGTAGTAATCGCGTTTATGCATTACAAATCTCTTGCTCAAGGTGAATCAGCATTACAAATTCAATATGTAATGCTGGGCTAATTTGTAATGCAATTTATACTAGTGCGATGCTTTTGCATTGCATATCCGAAGCACCAACGGGGTCCAAATCTCTCGCCAGCGGGTTCGGGGAAGACAGTACGGGGAGAGGCTCCTTTTTCGAGCACCTACCGAGTTTTCTATCCATGACATTCTTGATGGTGCGAGTCTTTATTTTCGTTCAATCGCAGCAAATTACGAAAATTTGCATTTTCAGTAAAAGCTATACTAAGTAATTCACAGACGGGTGATGACCACAACACAATTTTTTGTCATAACTTTTACTTTTCTCATAACTTTTACTTTTCTTGATGAGGATTTGCTGCACCGGCATGGCCGACATCAAAGATTTGCGATGCATAACCCGTCGACGTGGATGAGGAAGCCGGATTGCAGCGGGCGCTGTCGTATACTCATTGTTCCTTACCAATTTTCTCGAATAACGAAGCGCTTTCATTTTCTCGAAGTAGCATGGTATGCTGCACCTTTTTTTAGTAAAAAATTGCATCTCGTACAACATTCACGCATAGATGCCCTTTTTCGCATGATATAATACAACAAAACGCGATCATGTCATCGCGGAATGATTTAATATTGACTGTGTAATAGTTTTGGCTTATTGATACTGAAAAAGACAAAAACAATTATTAAAAAAAACAAACAGCCGCTCTTCGGACTCCTGTATCACCGATGAAACAGAAAATGTGTGTACTGCTGCAAAAAAACTGCTGCGAGCTGCGGAGGCTAGGCCGTACACCGACTTTCGAAGAACAAGAAAAGAAATAATGAGCTTCGAACTGGCAGAGGACTTTGTCTTTACCTGATGACTACATGCTTATGTGTACAAGGATCTACTTCTTCAGAGAGCGGTTTATTCTCTATGCAGTGTTGTATACACCCGTTTCATGTAGTCCCCTCCATACCTCTACTCAAGACCCACGATGTGTACCCATGGATAATACGGCCGAAGGATAAACGGAAGGTAGCGTGGGACATGGTGATCGCCGCCAACATTATTTGGACGGTCTCCCTGTCGCCCTACATATCCACGGCAAGTTGTTCCCCGTACTCGTACAAAAGAAATGCAGTGGCTTTTCTGCATGACAGAACTTGCATTGATTGCCATGCAGCATGACAAGTTAGTAGTGGCATCCTCTTAATAGAAGTTGTTGGCGAGATGATTTGTCATGCATTTTCTACATGTGCGGGAAATTTGTATTGCATACAACAGAATAGGATTCAACGTGCCAGCCGAGTATCCTGAGTAAAAACGTACCCACACCAGAGTTGTAATGCAGATTTGCAAAGACAGGAAGACTTGTAATGCGCACCCCCATGAGAGCCGTTTCCAATCGTGTTTTGGAATTTGTGATGCTGTGAACAGGATGAGCAGATGAATCTGTGACGCGGCTGCACTTGCTAACCTGCACTACACTGCATAGTGCAACTTGTCATGTGTGACTCACAAAACTCCTCGGCTTGTGTTGCAAAATCCTCATCCTGACTCTGGTGTGGGTACGTTTTTACTCAGGATACCGAGGGCGGAATGTTTATCTTGGACTGGATCGTGGACTTTTTTTTCTACATCGACGTCATTCTCAATTTCCGGACGGGTTACTACGCTACGCCTAACAGACTTGCCATATTTACCACCACAAATCGATTTGTGAGGCACAAGATGAACAAGATGATTATGACATGCATGGGCGCACGGCGGGGAGAAGAATGATTATATGAATATTAGGGTTTTATTCCGCACGATGTACCAGGTTCGAACTGAGTCATAAATTGACTTCGAGCATACTTGCGGAAAACAAGAATCCGTACTTGCATCATCAGTGCAATTGAGCTATGTGTCTTGCAAATCAGGGGGACATAAGGCGATCTCTTGACTCGTATAAAAGAGGAGGATGTCCTCTATGGGGTTCTCAGACGTTACATTCTCAAGTGTTACATGAATTTGCCATACAAAAGCACCATCATCATCCTCACGATCTTCAAGCTGCTCCGCATGACAGATTTGCGAAGGGCTAAGCCGCACCTAAATCTGTGCAGAATTTGTAATGCTACAGGTGCAACCTTCCCCCTTTCACTTTTCCCATTCTTGCATCACAAGTTCATGTAACAGTTGAGAATGTAACATGTGAGAATGCCATATCCTCGTGCTCAGTCCAAGACGAATCGCAAACAACTATTTGCGAGGATGGTATAGTATACATGATAGGATGGAAATGACATTTTGTGTTGTCATGCAGATTTTCATTTCTTTTTTTGTATTTTGTTCCAGAGACGCGGACAAGCCTGCAAAAGCAGGACTGAACTTAATCAACTTTAAAAACCACGCCAGGTTCACCCTCGATTTCGTCTCTTCTTTCCCTTTCGACACCATTCTGCCCCTATCCCGTGCAAAAGCATCGTACTCGTATAAATCAAGTCTTGCATTACAAATTTTTATCTCAAAGTAAATCAGCATGACAAATTTTATTTCTCATGCTGGGGAAATTTGTCATGCATTTCTACGAGTACGATACTTTTGCAGTTCATAGCCCCTCATTTTCGACGATCTAGAAAAGGACGAGGTGCGAATGCTGCGCATGCTGCGAATTTTCCGTATGGGGTTCTCAACCGTTACATTCTCAACTGTTACATGATTACTATCTAAACTGCAGCAGCTGGTCAAAAATGCAGGCGAGGGGTATGTTCGGGGGTATGTTCGGGGGTGTGTCAGGGGTATGCAAATCCTCCTCAATCACGAGCGGACTACAATTTTTTGCCGAAAAGCCAACAGGTGGGGTATAAACATACCCCAGACAGACCCCAGACACACCCCAGACAGACCCCCGAACACACCCCAGGCAAAAAGTCCGAACATACCCCAGACACACCCCGAACACACCCCGGGCAGACTTTCGGACACACCCCGGGCAGACTTTCGGACACACCCCGGGCAGACTTTCGGACACACCCCGGCCAAAATTTCGGACTTTGTCCCGTGAGGTTTGGACCCGAAGTCCAGTCTGTCACGCGAGACCGTGCGGCCAAGGGGCGAAAGCCCTAGGCCAGCGCGGGGACTCGGTCCCCGCGTCATGGCCTAGGGGCCAGCTGTGAGCGCTTCCCGGACTGACAGACACCGCGCGGCCAAGGGGCGAAAGCCCTAGGCCAGCGCGGGGACTCGGTCCCCGCGTCATGGCCTAGGGGCCAGCTGTGGGCGCTTCCCGGACACCGTGCGGCCAAGGGGCGAAAGCCCTAGGCCAGCGCGGGGACTCGGACCCCGCGTCATGGCCTAGGGGCCAGCTGTGAGCGCTTCCCGGACACCGTGCGGCCAAGGGGCGCAAGCACTTCCTAGGCCGGCGCGGGGACTCGGTCCCCGCGTCATGGCCTAGGGGCCAGCTGTGAGCGCTTCCCGGACAGACACCGTGCGGCCAAGGGGCGAAAGCCCTAGGCCAGCGCGGGGACTCGGTCCCCGCGTCATGGCCTAGGGGCCAGCTGTGCCGGAGCGCTTCCCGGGCACCGTGCGGCAAAGGGGCGAAAGCCCTAGGCCAGCGCGGGGACTCGGTCCCCGCGCCATGGCCTAGGGGCTAGCTTGCAGGCAGCACTTCCCGTGAACCCGTGTGGCCAAGGGGTGAAGGCCCTAGGCCAGCGCGGGGACCCGGTCGGTCCCCGCGTCATGGCCTAGGGGCCAGCTGTAAGCGCTTCCCGGACACCGCGCGGCCAAGGGCGGGGCGAAGCTAACCCCTAGGGCAGCGCGGGGACTCTGTCCCCGCGCATGGCCTAGGGGCTAGCTTGCAGCATTTCCTGTGACCCCGTGCGGCCAAAGGGCGAAGGCCCCCCCTGCCTAGGCCAGCGCGCGCGGGGACTCTGTCCCCGCGCCATTGCCTAGGGGCGAGCTGTGAGCGCTTCCCGGGCACCGTGCTGCCAAGGGGCGAAAGCCCTAGGCCAGCGCGGGGACTCGGTCCCCGCGCCATGGCCTAGGGGCCAGCTCGTTGCGAGCGCTCCCCGGCGAAACCGTGCGGCCGACTTAGGGGCGAAAGCTCTAGGCAAGCGCGAGGACTCGGCCCCCGCGTCATGGCCTAGGGGCCAACTGTGAGCGCTTCCCGGACACCGTGCGGCCAATGGGCGAAAGCCCTGCCTAGGCCAGCGCGGGGACTCGGTCCCCGCGTCATGGCCTAGGGACCAGCTGTGCCTGAGCGCTTCCCGGACACCGTGCGGCCAAGGGGTGAAAACCCTAGGCCAGCGCGGGGACTCGCTCCCTGCGCCATGGCCTAGGGGCTAGCTTGCAGGCAGCACTCCCCGTGAATCCGTGCGGCCAAGGGGCGAAAGCCCTAGGCCAGCGCGGGGACTCGGTCCCCGCGTCATGGCTTAAGGGCTAGCTACGAACGCACACTCCGTCCCCGGACAGCACACCGCGCGGCCAAGGATGGAAGGGGCAGAGAAGGGCCCTAGGGCAGTGCGGGGACTCTGTCGCCGCGTCATGACCTGGGGGCCGGCTCCAGACCCGGTGGGTGGGCGCGCGCCAGTTTCTTCTTTTCTTTTATCTTTGCGCGCGGCCGGCTAATGAGTCTAGTGTAGTGCGCGCAAGCAAGGGGGCCGCGTCCGCAGGCCCGTCGCGGGCCAGTGAACGCAAGGCGCACCGAGATACCTAGCTGCAGGCGACCTGCCTTCCCAGTGCCACCGCGCAGACAAATGCCGGAAGGTCGCCGCACGGGGACTCTGTCCCCGTGCTCGGACCTTGTTTGTCATGCAAAATGACCATGACCCGCCAGACGATCAAGCTGCTTCGCATGACAAATTCTCGGAAGGCTAAATAGCACTGCAATCCGGATCAAACCTGTAATGCAAGACGCGCAAGGTTCTCCGTCTCACCTGTGCTAGTCTTGCATCACAAATTCATGTAACAGTTGAGAATGTAACGTTTGAGAACGCCATATTCCGGCTTTTCCGATTGGGGAAATTGATGAGGATATTGAGGACAGAGCAAGTATGGAACTGTCAGGATCGAAATCAACAAAATTGAAAAAATAGTTTGTGATGCATATAATCGATACCAGTTGGAGCCTCAGTTTTCGAGTGGCGCATGACAAATTTCGGGAGCACCAATGAGATCCAGTCTCTCATGCTGTTTGGGCAAAGAAGACTGCTCCTGTCGTGCTACTCTAGCAGCGCACCGCGCTCCCCTAAAAAGGCTTGCAATTGGTCTCATTTGCCTACTCCCCAAGACAGGCCTTGCGTGCCCTCCATTTTATGCATTACAAATTTTTCGATTTCGTCGATTTCGATCCTGACACGCCCATAGCAAGTGAAGGATTTTATCGAGCAGTGGTTTTCTCCCACGGCGTATCAAATGCAAACATGTCTGGGTCTGGAAAGAATGGGATTTGTGATGCTAATCTTCTATGCTACAAAATCCTGTGCTGTTGCATGAGCAGCAAAAGGTGCTTGGAATTTTGCCAGCCGAAGTGGGCATTTCTCATGCAGGAGAGGCATGAGCAAGCCTTCGCGAAAGGTGTGATGCTAGAGCATGCATTACAGGCAACGCGGGTATTAATGTACAGTTGTGCATGACAAACTCCCCCAATTTTCCAGATCCAGACATATTTGCATTTGATACGGCGAGAAATCTGATTTCCCTCCTTCTCTGGATCTTCTTCATTTGCCACCTGTTTAGCTGCATGTGGTATAAAAGATTGTTCTTGCAGATTTTCATTTTCTTTATTGTCATGCTGAAGCTGCAGAATGAAAATAAATGTGTGCTTGTTCATCTTTGTCGTGCAGATGTAGATAATATAGAATCAACATTATCAAGAACATGCATCATATCAAAAACCAAAAAGGTTCTTCGTCGGTAACGCCGGGTGGTCATGGTGCGAAGAAAAAGAGCACCCGGACTACCAATGGGCCCAGTTCGAAGCGGCCTACATCACTCCAGGGGTCACCTCAATAGCGAGCGCGCCGTTATCAAATGCAAAAATGTCTGGGTCTGGAAGAGTGCCAGGTTTGTCATGCATATTTTGCAGGACACATGATGCCTCTAATGCATGGCCTAGCATCACAGATTTTGAGAGGGCTTTCTGCTTCTGGTGCGTATTCCGCATGAGATATGCCCTCTCCGCGTAGCACAAACTGGACCCCTCTGCTGGTCATGCAATACAGACTTTTTTGGAATCCAAGGACAGCATCACAAGTTGCAATCTTCCAGACCCAGACATATTTGCATTTGATAGCCGTCCGGATGGGACATTTTGAAAAACGAAGATTGTCAGTGCCCAATTTCTATGAACTGCAAAAGCATCGTACTCACTAGTTATAAATCGCATGACAAATTTCCTCAGCATCAGAAATGGAATTTGTAATGCGGGTTTGCATTGAAAAAAAGATTTGTAATGCTGCAAGGCTGCAATTACTAAGAGTACGATACTTTTGCAGTTCATAACTTCCTTCCTCGGGAAGGACCCCATGAACAAGCACCCACTGGGGGTATGCATTTCAAATATCCCTGGATGTCTGGAAGGATGCGAACCTGGCATTGTGATGCGCATTTCACAACACGGAGAAATCCCTCATGCATAGGCAGCAAAAGGCGCCCCTGCCCATTTCCTGTCATCAAAGTGGGGGATTTGTCATGCGTTAGCGCGAAAGTACCCCTAACGAAAAAATCTCCAACAAATTGCAAAAGTTTTCAAAATTTTTTGTCGTCGCTGTTTTGTTACGCGTTGCGATGGTATGGGCCGAGATGGCCAGCAGGTTGGGTCTGTGGCCGGTGTGGGGGAGTTCTGGCCGCGAGGCCTGGTGAGGCCGCAGGCCCGACGCAGCATAAAACTTGGGGCTGACAGCCCATCGCCCCATGGCGTGCGAGACGTTTTAGTGATAATTTTGGGCGCGAAAGCGTGTGTGCCTTTTTTCCAAAATTAAACCAAAAATAAATCGCAGGCGGGCCCGTTTTTCGGCGCCCAAATTTCCGGCGGACCGCAGACGGGCCGCAGACGGACTGCAGACGGGCCACACTTGACCAACAAAATAAATTTTCAAAATTCCCAAAGTCAGGCGATTCCTTAGGGTTTTTGCAGTCCCGAGTCAATTCGGGATATTTCGTTTGCACAAAAGGGATTTGTTTTTGCAACAAGCGGAATTTGGGAAAAATTTGTTTTTGCACAAAAAAAATTTGGGAAGACGATATGGTTGGGGGGTAAGATTGGGGGTTGAGATTTTTTCTTGGCCGGAAGGCAGGGCGCCGTGTTGCGTGAACGCAATCCATGTCACGACTGCAGAATTAGTGCTCTGGGCCCGGATAGTTGGGCAGCTGCCCGCGCAAGTCGGGCCTACATTGCGAACGCTTCAACTTGGCAGGCCTCGACATTCCAGTTGCCCCGGTCATGGCCGCAGAAAGAGCCAGGTCCTTTTTGGGGGTTTTCGCGACGACAAAAAAAAAACGAAATTTGTTGGATTCAGATTCCTTAGGGCTCCTTTCTGCCCAATCATGCGAATTAAGCAATGCGGAAGCTTCTCGAAATCTGTGATGCTAGGGCTTCCATGACAGACATTTTGTGTCATGCAAAAACAGCGTGACAAAAATCTGCATTCTTCCCGACCCAGACATTTTTGCATTTGATAGGGGGAGATAAAATGCAACAACGACGTTTCCTGGGTCCGGGCGTTCGAGGTTTACCGCATGCCAAATCTCGGGAGGTACCTCACCGCACTGTACTTCGTCACAAAAACGGTTTTAGCGGTGGGATACGGAGATTTATTTCCGACAAACACCTCCGAACGGATGTTCTGCGTGTTTCTGGAACTGGCCGGTGCGGTGGTCTACGGTTACATTTTGTCCGGCATCACAAGGTCTGTCGACGGTCGAGGGCAGGAGATGTTGAAATTGAAAATAGTAAACGAATGGGGCCAATTATGCAAGAAAAAAACTGTGTAAGTGTAAGTCTGTGATGCAAAAAATGCAAAACAGTTACACTTGTCATGCCAGACACATGAAGTCGTCTTTTTATGTGTGTTTTCACGTACTAGCATTGCATGACAGGCTTTCTCTCTCGTGCAGAGCAAATTTGTAATGTTGGCTCTCCAAGAGACCTACACTAACACAGTTTTTTCCCTGGATACCAATATCGGGAGTTTGACAACATGCTGCGAAAAAGGATAAAACAGCACTACCAATACACACTGTCCAGCACGCATGGGTATCAGGACTACATGCTCGTGGAGGGGTTACCAAGACATCTTATGGGAATGTCAGGATCGATATCGACAAAATCGAAAAATTTCTAATGCATAAAATGTAGGGCACGCATTACCTGTGTTGGGGAGCAGGCAAATAAGACCGATTACAAGCCTGTTTAGGGGAAGACGATATGCTGCTAGAGTAGCATGACAGGAGCAGTCCTTTTGCTCAAACAGCATGACAGACTGAATTTTGTTGCTCCCGAAATTTGTCATGCGCCACTTAACAACTGAGGCTCCAACTGGTATAGATTTTATGCATCACAAATTCTTTCGATTTTGTTGATTTCGATCCTGACATTTCCATACATCTCAGGAGCGAAATAATAGACCGGGTCTGGCCACACTACGTGCAGGCGCTGACACTGTATTTTGATGAATATTGGTTTCTTGTTGACGAGGTAGTTTTTCTTGTTTCCACGCGTTCATGATACTACACCGTGTCATTCTGTTCTGTTCGTGCCCAGGGTTCTTGTAGGGTTGTACTATGGCTTTCTTCTGTTTCTGTGCGAAGGATAAATGTAAATCGGTGGAATCAATCTACTAACCCACAACAACAGGTCCCTCTTCCCCATACCAAAATCCCCGGACGAAGAGCTCATAGGCTACGACCTAGTCCGGGACCTCATGGGCTCTTTACGTCCCCAGCAGATCATATCGGGGGATATTTTGTGCAAGCAGGACGACTTGCTGGAGGATATTTACTTCATCGTGTCCGGGACTATGGAGGGATTGATGGATAAAGACGGTTTCGCGAAAGAAGCAGTAAGGGAATCAATGGAATACACCAGAAATTGGCGAAAAAACGTCTGTATGAACTGCAAAAGCATCGTAGTAGTATGAATTGCAATACAAATTGCCTCAGCATTTCATTTAGAAATGAAATTTGTAATGCGGTTTTACCTTGATAGAAAGATTTGTAATGCTGCAAGCCTTGCCCTTGCATTTATACAAGTACGATACTTTTGCATAGGATAGTCTCCAACCTAGCGGAGTCTGCTCCGTTTAGCAGTAGTCAAGTGTCCTTCGAAGAGCTGGCGACGAGATCAGAGGTTTATTGTTTACGCTTCTTCATCGATATGGTAGTTTCAGTTATTCCTCCTGCTACTTTGTCCTGCACTTTTTACTAGCTTGGCATCAAACAGGAGTACAACTGATGCCATGTCGTGGTCCCATAGTATGGCATTTAGTTTTGTTGTCACCTATGTTTGGTGGAAAACAAAATCCAGGTCCACACTCTGGTTCTCGATTCTCTCCTCGTCGCGGTCTACGAGAAGTGCGAGTATTTCCAGACGAGATTCGACCCAAGAGCCAGCAACGACGCAGACAGGATTTCCTACTTCACCTACCTGGCGCAGTCCACATGCGAGCTCATCGCAATACCAACGGACGTGGTTTCAGGGACGTATTTTTCTTTCATGATAAGTTCATGATGTTCTTTTGTCATGCGGAGTCAGCTTGTCATGCAATTACAAATCTGCAATGCAGAAACCTCTTCAACACGACACCACCACAGCTACCGCGAGTACCACCCAGAGCACATGAAAGCCTCCGCCAGAAGGTGCACCGAACTGGTGCAAAATTATCAAGATGAAACTTTCCCAACACGACGTACAAATAATGCGGTGTCTGCATCACAAAACTTGCCTTCGGTGTCCTGGTCAGCATGACAAGTTTTACACTCTGAAAAATTATACGCGAAATTTCTCATGCATTTTGTACGTGTGCGAGGAGAAATTTGCATTGCATAAAAACCTCGAGAGGTGTATCGGTTCCGGCGAGTACCCGCACGAAGAGCCGGTATGAACTGCAAAAGTATCGTACTCGTAGTAATTGCAGTCACGCAAGACAAATTTCATTTTCAAGCGAAATCAGCATGACAAATTTCGTTTATCACGCTGAGCTAATTTGTGTTGCAAAAATACTACGAGTACGATACTTTTGCAGTTCATAACCGGATCTGCAGAACGAAATGGTGAAGAGAAGGGCAATATGCATTGCAAAAAATATGTCTGGTCGTTCTGGAAACTTGTGATGCTTCGTGGCGATGATTGAGCATACTCCTGAGTGCAGCTAAGCATGACCAATTTTCTGATGAACACTTCCTAATGCGTAGCGCGCATTAGAAACTGCGCTTTTGCATGACAAGAAAAGGCTTCTTTTTGTTGGTCCTGCAATACAGATTTCACAGCAATCCGAGGCACGCAATACAGAATCCACTCTTCCAGACCCAGACCTATTTCCAATTGATACGCGACGAACAAAATCTTCTACCACGGCTCCGATTGGCCAATATCCGATCTAGTCCGGATGGGCAAGTGCGAGAATTTTTTGCTGAAATCCATGGAGGAAATGGTGTTGCAAACAATAGACGACTATCAAATGCGAAAATGTCTGGGTCTGGAAACTTGTAATGCTGTGTTGGGAAAAATAGTGAAAGCTCTGTAATGCACAGCCAAGCATGAGAAATGTCTGCGCTTATTTGTGTTGCGTTTTTCGCATGAGAAACTGCGTTTTTGCATGACAGGCAAAAGGGTCTCTTCTTGGACACGCATCAGAAACTTTTTTTTCATGCCAGACAAGCATGACAAGTCTCGCAATCTTCCAGACCCAGACGTTTTTGCATTTGGTAACGACCATCGGCAGTGGTACCAAAAGCACCAGGAGGAGCAGGAGAGGAAAGAGCAGGCCATAGCAAACGGGGAGATCCTATCCTGAGTAAAAACGTCCCCAACCCAGATTTGTCATGAAAATCTGCATGCTAAAAATGTTGCTCATGCGGACCGCCATGGGAAGCATTTTGTAGTCGTGTTTCGAAATTTGTGATGCTCGAGACAGCACAATGGTCTACGTCTGTGATGCTGCTGAACGAGCTAAACAGGATTAATACACTACGAGGCCAAAACTGTCATGCGCAACAAGCAAAGCTGGTTGATTTGGCTAGCACATGATTCCCCATCTTGACTATGGGGTGGGGGGTTTTGCACAGGATAAATCCAAGAGGAATCAGACGAATTCGACGAAGTAGAAGATTATCCACATACAATTTTGCCGTACACAACGTCAACGTTGTACAAAATTTATTTTTTGCAAAAAAAAAATTGCAACATCTACTGAAAGGCCGACGCTTGTGCTGCTGAAACAAAACGGGTTGTAGACTCTTTTTATATCGTGCTGAAATGGTAAAAACAAGAATGCAAAGTAAACTTTGTGTAACCGATGTACGGTAAATTTCCTCTGGATAAGGTTGACGGGATGTCCCCCGAGCCCAGTCCTACGAACCCAGCTATCACAGGAAATAAAAGTGTCAACGTTAACGAAATTTGGCGTGCAGGATTGCACGACAAATGCTTCCCCAATTTGTATTGCATAGAACGCATGATAGAAAAAAATTGTCATGCGTGATTGCAATGCCGTAAATCCGTTATCCGTTAGCACTTTTCCCTGTGATGCGAGCGCGTCCGGCGGCAGCGAACTCTGCGGATTTGATTCTTATGCATTTTTTACACTCTAGGTAGTTGGTTCCTCCGACTAAAAGTGTCAACGTGCTTTGCTGGTTTTTAGTCTACTTTGCAGGCCGTCTACTACATCTACATATTTCTCTTGCATCACGAGAAAGGTATCATGAAGATGTTATTGCGCATTTTGCGTGTTATGAGATAGATTTACACTTCCTTTCGCCTGCTCTATGTGTAGTTCTAGTTGTGGTTGTAAAAAATGCTTCGATAAAAAGATGAAAAGTATGTAAAAATTCTAAAAATCAATATCCACAGAAGTACAAGCTTTCCACTTTTCCCTTTCATACGCCAATCCAATGTAATGCGGAACGTTAACGCCAAGCAGAGAGCAATGACGAACCAGATCATGAAGCAACAGAGGATGAAGATAAAACGAAAACCGACTCTGAAAGCGCTAGACGCAGCGGAATCGCAGAAACAAGAAGAAAGGAGAAGAAATGCGGAACTATTGAAGCGGTGGATCATACCACCAAAACACCCCTACAAAATCGCATGGGATTCCTTCATGGGGATAGTCATCGTTTTTTCGGTATAGGATTTTCTTTTGAATCTTATCTGCGTCACGATGGTATGCCCTACATGTTGATCCCCTTGCATTTGTCGTGTCGTGAATGTGAAGATACAACAGAAGTCTCAGTAGGCTGCATGACAAATGCAGCGTCGAATGACAGACACAACGATGTCGAATCCACTTCACACAGGTCATCATAGTCCCCTACCGAATCGGTTTTGAAGTCACGCCAGACCCGGGTTCCGCGGGCGACGTTTTAGATTGGTTCGTCGACATCTTTTTCGCAATCGACATCTGTGCGTCGTTCCGGACCGCGTACGTGGATAATCAAGGTCAGATGATCTCGGATCTGGCGAAGATACGGAAGAACTACATGGCGGGTTTTTTCTGGATCGACTTGGTGTCTACAATACCGTTCGACAGGATATTCTCTGTTGGAAGAGGCGCGACGCTGATACGCGTGGTGCGGTTAATCAGGTTGGCGAAGTTGTTGCGGCTCGTGAAACTCACGAAATTACTCGACGACTTGCAGGAAATCGGCATTTCCCAGCGGGCGTTGAACTCTGTGATGCTCCTTTCCCAGTTGACGTTTTTGGCCCATTTACTCGCCTGCGGATTCTTCTTTCTGTACTTGAGCCAGGATTTGAAGGGCCAGAACGCGTGTCGCGGGGGTGCGCAGTTCTGCACAAATAGAGGGGAAACGGACGGCAGTCAAGGGCTGAGAGGATGGTATTATAGGATTTTGTTTTGTTATTTGTCATGTAGTCGATGAGGTAGTAGAAGCAGAAGGAGTGTCTGCAATTATGCGTTGCATGAATTACAACTCTCTTCGTCTACTTCATTCTATGTGAATACCGATCCCAGGTTCGGTGCCCTCGACTCATTGATACCCGGAGCCCAAAATGAAGACTACATAACAGCACTGTATTGGAGTTTCACTACCATGACTATCCACAGAAAAAAACCCATCCACATCGATTTTTTGCAAGACAAACACATGATTTGATACGTGTTTTGCATGACAAGTTGGATGTGGATGGTTTTTTTTCTGTGGATAATGACAACCGTCGGGTATGGGGACATAGCGCCCAAATCAACCGCAGAGAGGATTTACGGCATATTAGTCATGTTTATCGGCGGAACGGCATTTGGTACTTTACAACTAGAACACATAGTATGTAGTGAGGTCACGAACGTTCTAATCTAGCGATCTTTTTGACACCTCACCTGCAAAACGACCGGCAGTTTTCAAGCGGGCGGAGGTGTTTTTGGACGTAAAAGATTTCCATTTATCAAGCCGGCGGAGCTTTGAAGTCAAACAAGCCCGGTCGAAAACTATCGATTCGCACTGGATAAAACGACGCAGGGGAGCCGGCAAAAGGGGCGCCCTTCTGAGACGGTCACCGCCTTAGTTCCTGGCGGTTTCGGGCGCCCAAAAAGCAGCAGTCCGAAAAAAACAGCAAATCCGCATGGTATGGGCCTCATTTTGGCCCACATTCGGGCCCCGCAAAAGACGCCTTCAAAATCCGCCATTTCAGAGGCGGACTGAAGGCCAGAAGATGCTGCATTTTGACAAAAAAAAACAAAAATAACAAAGCCCGCCAAAAGCAAAAAGCCAATCCGCATGCTATGGGCCCGATTTGGGGCTCCGGAGAGGCCGACCCTGGCGCGGGCCCTGGCGGGGCCATAGCATGCGGGGAAGGTTTTTCGATTCGAAACCAAATGGAGGCCGCCTCTGGATTGAGATTTTTAGCGACCGCCGTGCCGCCGTGCATAACATTACCCACGATGGCATGGTGGGCACAGAAGTTGCGTCCGTTTTTGGTGTGAAGACAAAAAGACCGCCATGACCTCACTACCTCCGCGGACGCGGCTATTATTGGTGCCGTTCTTTGCAGTATGATGCAAAGTAACCTTCCATGACACCATGCTGCTTAACCTAACGCCCGATGGTATCATGTGGAACAAGGAACACTGTTCATGATTCCATGCGGAGTGATGTTATGCACGGTGGAAAAATAAGATACTGCGAAGGTCGAGAAAAGCGAATCAAAATGCTCGTCTGCAAATTTTTCAAGTCTCAGGTTACATCATCGGCTCCATTGCCATATCAGGAGAGTAAAAGTAGAGGGCCGACCAAAGCAAGAGGGTCGGAGAGAGGTAAAGTGAGAGGGTACGGAGAGGGTCGGGAGAGGGTGCGCCGTATAGGAACCCGTATAGCGGCGCTATACGCGCGCAGAGGGTGGGTAGAGGTTGAGTAGAGGCCAAGTAGAGGGTGGGGGGAGAGGGTGCAGAGGGTCGGAGAGGTTCCACAATATAGGGCGACCCTCTAAGTGACCCTCTGCATCGACCCTCTCCGGGAACCTCTATTTTAGCTCTCTGCGGACCCTCTCGGGACCTCTTGGACCCTCTCCCGGACGCTCTCCGGGACCCTCTCCGAACCTCTCCCAGACCCTCTCCGAACCTCTCCCGGACCCTCTCCGGGACCCTCTCCCGGACCCTCTACCAGAACCGCCCGCACAGTGAAGCTCGCCCGCCTGCGCGCAGTGCCTGTGTCTTAGAGTAAGAATAAACAAAGCTGATAGGGCCTAAAAGTTAAGGTCTCCTCTGCAAGTTTTTCTTTTTTGACTCCAGGGCAGACCAGGGCGGCTGTTCAAAGTGCATGCGCCGCTCTGCGTCCCCCGGGGGGGGCGCGGCGCCACGCCTTAACGTAGGCGGCCACCTAGGGTGGCCGCAACTTCACACAGTGCCCGCGCGCGGGCAACAGGTGTTGTGTCTTTGTAGCGTCGTGAAAGTGGTTGCGACCAAAGTAGCGAAAGTTTTTCTCTGCCCGTTGTCTCTCGGCGCAAGCATAGCGCATTAGGCTTCGCAAGCACATGCAGGCCCCGCCGCGTGCTCGCTGCCTAACAGGATTCCAGCTCGCCACCTTTTAGAAGCGGCGTTCCTCCTGTTCAGGGTGCACACCTGCAACAAACCCCCCCTCCAAGAAAGGCCAACAACCTCCGGCCCCGGGCGCTGCTTTTTTCGGAAACAAAGAACGCAGGCCGCGGCGGTATCGCTGCGTGTGTGCGCTGCGCTTTCTGGGCCAACCCCGTCAGACCAAAAAAAAAAAATCAAAATGCTCGTCTGCAAATTGTTCAACTCTCAGGTTACATCATCGGCTCTATTGCCGCCTCCGGAACAGACAGCAAGGAGATTTCAATGAAACCAGTCTACGATTTCTGCGACAGGCAAGGCCTCTCGGCCGTGATCCGGACGAAACTCAGGAAGCACATGACCTTCTACATGAGCCAGAAGAGCAACTACGATGAACAAAGTATAGTATGTAAGAAGGAGTCTTTTTGTTCTTATGCGTAGAACTAGAATGCGATGCCGATGCTGATGTGTGCATGGTCCAGAACACAAGCATTCTTGGAAAAATTTCATGAACAAACCACATCTGCAGCCTACCTCCTCGAGCTCCCCGTGCACCTAAGAATCGAAGTGCTCCTTCACGTGCATCGAGAAACGCTCTCCACCCTCCGGCTGTTCCGGCCAAGGCTATTATACCGGGATTGGTTTATCGCCCATGTAGTCTCCTTGATGAAGCCCATGGTGTGTGTCGCGGGGGATTTGGTTTACTCAAAAGGGCAGAAGGACCCGTACCACATCTACAATATTTTCACGGGCGCGTGCGAGGCAGTTAATACCGATACGGACGAGCTGGTACTACTACAGGGCTTTTGTTTACTACTTGTTTGATCATGATCTCGCATGACGGATTTATGTGCTACCGGTCTGTAGCTGACGAAACTGCATGACAAATTTTCCGTCAACATGTTGTATCAAAACAGGTCGCCGTCTACACGAAGGGTATGATCTTCGGTTTGGAGGGCGCTATTCAGCCAGACGGACACCCAGTTAGCAAAGAAGAGGACAACGGGTACCCATGGTCAGTAACCGCGCAGCCGCTGATCGTGCCTGGCACAGACAGGGAATCAGTCGAGTTATTCGTTCTGAAACAGGACGTGATACAGGGACTCGATGACAACGGGAGCGTCTACTTCCACCCGCTCAAGTATTGAAATGAAGAACTATTGTGATGCAATCACTTTTGCTTTGTAGAGCGCAACATGCACGAAGATCGATGTCGTGTCACTACAACTTTTTCGAACTACTCTCGGCCGCTGCATCAATATGCTCGCTGCACGCATTGAAGGCTTGTTGTGTTCAAACTATTATGAAAACACTATCAGGAAACTGGTCGCAACCGCGTGGATTTCCCAAAAGAGGAAACCCTATGTCGAAGAGTTGGAGAAGCGAAAACGAAAAGTCTGCGAGCATCTAAAAGCGGAAGCAACGAAGAAGAAGAAGGTGAAGCTACCAAGGAGTTACACAAAGTTCACGACGATCGAGGGTATCCAGTGCAAATTATATTTCTGGGCCTGGAAGATTGCATCTTGTGATGCTACTCTTGGATAATTCCGAGAAAAATCTGCATTGCAAGATCAGCAAGAGGGATCGAGTTTGTGCTAATGCTGAGAGGGCATTTCTGATGGTGCGGGATAGGCAACATCAGGAAGCCCTTGCAAAATCTGTGATACTAAGGCATACATCACAGACATCACGTGTCATGCAAAATGCGCATCGCAAGTTTTGAACTTTTCCAAACGCAGACATATTTGCACTTGATAGCGGGCGTGGAGATCGAATTCGAAGATGTCGAGGACAACAGGAGTAAAAATTCGCTGATGAAATCTATGACCTGCTCAAACGTAGTTACAATCTCAAACGTTGCAATAGAGTCTGGATTTTGTCTTGCATGAAGAGCATGAGGAACGCATGTAGCTTTGCGCCTTTCGCAATACAAATTTCGCCGGATATCGATCGGGTTTTTGGTTCCGAAACTTGTCATGCGAAAACCTATGGTACGTACTACGGCAGATCATGCACTGCCAGCATCACAGATCTCCATATTCCATTGTAACGTTTGAGATAGTAACTACACCTGAGCAAGTTATAAAATCGCTAGTGCAAGTCGGCGATTCCGGCTCAGCCGGCGACGACTACTCACCGGCGTTGTCGGGAACGGGAGGGGGGCATTTAGCTTCGAGTGGCAGCATATGCATCACAAAAGTATCTTACTAGTAGTGACTGCATTACAAATTTGTTCAGCACATAGAAATGCAATTTGTGATGCTGATTCGGCATAAAAAAGGACAGTTTTCATGCATGTTGACGCATTTGCAATTGGAATTACTACGGGCGCGATACTTTTGCAATGGATGCAGCAACGTCGCCGGGGGATCATCTCCGGAGGATCCCGCAAGAGACGCGGGACAGGGCGGATCCAGTTCCAGCACTACGTTCTTCGCGAACACGCAGGAAAACGCGGGGGATAGTGGCGGAACGATGTGGACAACAGCGGGGAACGAGGATCCAGCGGGCAATAGCGCTGGCCCAACGGAAGTCGTCGTGGTTGGGCAGCAGGCAGAAAACAACGCCGGGCAGAACGAAGGGGAACACGCGGCGCAGCTGGCGTCAAGTAGCGGGGAGGAGTTAGACCCAGAACCGGTGTTGCTCGGACAAGTGAACCACGGCAGAACGGACCCGGACCCGGGCGGCACATCTACTGCGGGGAATGTCGGGTCGCATGATCGCTCGAGACAAACGGTTCAGTTTGCGAGTACGGTCGAAGTGCAGCAGAACAATGGCGACTGCTATCCCACGAAAATAACAGTGTTACAGTTAAATATTTGTTGTCAATTCAGCAACACAAATTTCTCTGCATGAGAGAGAAAACTTGCAATGCAGAAATCCTAAGGGAAAACACCCATGAAACGAAGCTCCTATGCATATCCGGCATGACAGAGCTGGTCTGTCTTGCTTGGCCTGCAACACAATGCGTAACTGTATACAATTTTTTCTTGCGATAGCTGCGGAATGAACCCTAGTGGATCTTCATCGAGCTCGCGGGGGCCGGGGGGAAGCGGTGGGGGAGGGGCGACGGAGTAAAATAAACAAGCAAACGGCACAACTACTAGATGGAGACGAGGAGCCGGAAAAGATCTCATCGTGTAGAGATGATGGATCAAAAAAGAAAAACCCAAAAAAATCTTTTTGTAATTACCCTATACAAGAAACGTAGTCACACAACTACTACACATCAAGTCACTTTATTTATTTGATTTCGGACAACTGTTTATTGCGTATCATCAAATTATACAAATGCAAACTTGAATCATCTTTGAGTATTACAATTTAATTTCACCAGAGCTGCAGCGGAAGTTGTTGCAAATAATGGGTGCTAGTACTACAACGCGCAAGTTGCAGTGCAGCTTGAGGTCCACTCACAAAAGAGATTCAAAATCTCAACGGAAGAACCAAGTCCGTGCTATTAAGTAACTCCTCATGTCAGATTCAAAATCTGCAGGAGCTGGTCTTTCGAACTGGCGGCCATGGTCGGTCGCGCTTGCAACTGTGTTGTGCGCCATTAGTCACCAGCAAGAAGGAGCTGAGTGGTCCATTAAGCAGGAGGAGAAATAAATGTGTATAACAGTTTTATTTTTAGTGCGCGTCGTGGCCAAGTATACTCAAACTCAATAGCTTTTACACTAGTTTTCAGCAAGAAGTTGTCTTATGTTCATGTAGTTGATTGCATTTGCTTTTGCTCCAACAAAATCAAAAAAAGAAAGAGAAGCAACTGCAAGCCGAGCAAATGCAATTGCAAGTGGAGATGATAAATAACATTTGCGATGCGATCTTTGTTGGTGGTGCAACAACAAATACAGACGGCATGATGTACAGAAGTTTTTTTCATTTTGCTGCTATGCTGAGGCGGTAAAGATAGCATGAAAATGATAAAGCGATCTTTTACGCAGCGGACCGAATTATTTATATCGACGCACCTACTATACCCGTTATCGTTAAGCTTAAGAAGGCAGAAGATTTCATCTCTGTTTACTTCCACGTTGAATTATTCAGCAAATTTAAGGCTCCATCCGCATCCCTACCAAATTTGTACTCTGTTGCTTCTAGGTAGTCCCCTTGTAGCAAGCAAGCTTCGCGCCCCCGCCTATGAGTATAAACCAGAAATAATCCACCACTCTGACTAGATTCTTGGATGCTCAGGGCAATCAGTCAATTGTGTCCATCAAAAAGGTAAGAAGACTCGAACTCATTTGCCGCATATAGATCCATATATTATGACTCGCAAGAAAAAGAATTATACGTCACAAACTTATTGTGCCGCCGTGCTGCTGGTCTTCATGCTCTTCAATGTCTGCTGAGAAAATCCTTGACAGAAGCACTGGACTCAGCACAAAGAAAGGAGGACTATAGACAAAGTCAGCACAAAAATGTCACACTTTAGAAGTTCTAATCAAAAGCATTTACATCTAGTAGGGCTACTTTAATTATTCACTTCGACGCTTAAGAACGTGCAGAAGATGCACTGCTATAGTTTGAGGATTACACATCAATCGCAGATTTTTCGCATTGAGAGAACATGTAACACCTATCCTTCATTCAGCCGAAATGGCAGCAACAAAATTGATGATTTTAGAAATTTTGATTGACAAAGAACAACAGGATAAATTTTTACTTCTCTGAGCTCGGAACAAAGAAGATTAGATTCTATATCGGTGTAAAAACATCATAAAGTAGCAACCAAGAAGGGGGGCACGATGTCGACGGTTATTCTCTCCTGGAGGTGCAGTAGAAGAGGATATGCTTTTTAAAACAGTTTTTTCCTAAAACTCAGGAGAAGAAGCATGAAGCAGATGTTGAAGTAGGTTGCTGTCTAGTAGAAATGAATCGAAAAAGGAAATGTGCTTCTTGTGCCATCAGACAGGATGGATGGACAAACTTTCATGTAGCCCTGGAGGCGCCAGTGGCCTGATGAATCAGTTTTGATCATCGCAAGCATCTTTCGACTGTGTTCTTGTTCCGGCTAGCCGACATTTTTTGTCGTGTTGTTGACCCATGATGAAAGTGTGTGGCGCTCAAAAACGCGCAAGGCATCCGGGGGGGTGGATCAGACCCAGGAGCGGAACCATCGGGGCGATGATGATGGTGATGAGCATGAGAGCCCTGGCCCTGCTGCCTTTGCCTTTCCCTGTGTTCCTAGAGGTTTGGCCGCGCGTGGCCACCCGACCGCCAGCCGGGGCGCGCAGGTAGCGCGGGGCGCCCGGGTTGTATGTCCGCGGCAGGCTGGCGGGCCCGTTTGGTTCGAAATCATCCGCGAGGAAACTTCTCGCGGAGCATTTCGGGGCCCGCGCAGCCGGCCGGGGGCCACCTGGCGGGCGGCTCGCGCCAGTCTGGAAGCCAGAGCGGCCGCACATTTTTGGGCGCGCAGCAAGGCGGCCGGGGGCACGCAGCGACCCCACCTGGCCAGACTGTTCACAGGGGCGGAACGGTAGGCCAGTAAGCATCTCAAGGTAAGTATGGGCACGCATGGAAAACGGGCGACGCCACAACGGAGGTGCGGCGAAATTACACGGCAATGACCCTGGCAGCCGTCAAAGGAGCCGGCAAGGTTGGCGTTGTGTTTGGTCCCCCCGGAAAGTCCCAGCGGTGGAGCAGTGGCGCCTCGCGCAGATCGCCGGCCGCCAGAGGTCGCGCCCGCGCGGGCGGGTCGGCGCATGGATGTCGTGGTAAGGCGCCGGCGCTGTCGGTCTGCGCCTGCCTTTCCCGGGGGGGCGCGCGTCCGTGCGTCGGTCGGCTCGCGGCCTGCGGAGGGTAATTATTCGAATTCGTACCTTCGTACCCGCAGAACCTGGCGACCCGCTGGGGCCTCGTCCCAATGAAGCCCGAGACGACGACGAAGGCGCACGCAGCAAAGCGCGAGCGGCGAAGCTGTCGCCCTGAGCAGCGCCGCCCTATCGGCTGGAGCGAGGGAGCCGGGCGGCCTGTGGCCCCCCCCCGCCCCCCGCGCGGCGCCCGCAAGTTGCCCGCCGCAGCTGGGCCCCGGGCCTTTCTCTTTTTGGGCCGGCCCCGCCCGCCCGCCCGCGCGGGCGCATAAATAGCGCGCCGGCCTGCTTGTCTTTGCTTGCATGGCGGCCCTCCCGCCTGCTATGTGTTTGCGAGAGAGCGCCCCGGCGGCCTTCTTTCGACTTCTTTGTCTCCGTGTCCCCCGAGCCTGCCGGGCCGCGGACGGAGCTGCGAGCGAGGGGGCGCAGGGCTGGGCGCGCGGTGTTTCTGTCTTGCGCGCGCGCCGCTAACTAAGCTTGAACACAGGGCGAACGGAGGGGGCCGAATGCATGCTCTCTGCGAGCGTTTGGTCTATGTTCGCCTGTTGTTGTGAGACTACGAACGAAGACGGTCGGCGGGGTAGTAAGATGGACGAGCCGACGCACGAAGACGGTTTTCCGCGTGCATGCCTCGAACGAGGCGGGCGCCGCTGGCTGGCTCGTGTCAGTATCTATTAGTGTCTTCGCTTTTGCATCTTGTTCAACGTTTCTGCCATCGGTGTAGGCAGCAGGCTCTACAATTTTGCATGTTCCTTTTTCGACGAATTTTGGGTGGCCCGGTCGGGAAGCAGAAACTGTTTTCATTTTCGTATATATAAATGCCCCGTCTCGACGAGGATGGGTGGTCAGATTTTGCTTTGAAAAGGGGGCAAGGAGGCTTTCACTGCGTTCGTAAGAGTAAGACGACGTAAGTGCATAAAATAAAGCATCGCGTTGCGCTTATAGGTTCGCGTTCGCAAACGAACTGCCGCGCTGAAGTATATTTATTTTGTTATTTCGAGAAAGCAACTTTGCTAATCGACATCTGAATCCTCACCAAGCAACCATGTCAATGTCAAACTCGAGAAATTGCATATCGTCAGCGTTTCGCACGCACCAACCCAGAAAAATAATGCGCTCTCCTTCATCCTTTCTGCTTTTCCTCGCCGCATTGCTAGTTTTCACACCCGCGGCTCCAGCTTCCGGCATTCGCTTACAGCGCACATCTGACAGCAGCGCGGATCATGCGCCAGCAGCGGATGTTCAGATTCAAGAGTACACAGCTGGTGACGTTACCAATCCACCAGCCGGTCACGACGAAATTGCAGCGCAAGGTGCGGATGAAGCATTTCAACCTCGGAGTGTTGTTGTCGAGGACACGACAGCTACATTGACCGAACCTTCTGTAACAGCCGCTGCAGAGAACTCACCTTCTGTTGAAGGAGAACTACGGGCAGCTGCATCGACAACTGCAGCTGAAGACGACGGCAATGTCGACAGTGGTGCAACTGAAATCGCCAAAGCATCTACTTCCAGTGAAGGTGTTGGTGTTGTCAACGCAGATACAACGAGCGGGGGCACCACCTCCACCATTCACACTGGCTGGGGCCAGCAACAGTTCATGCAGAACCAACAAGCGGAAGCGGCAATGCTGCAGCAACAAGGATCATTCTTTCCTTTCCCCTCGACTCCCGATATGGAGATGATGCAAATGGCGATGCAGATGCAAGCTCAGGCAGGAGGACAGCAGGTGATGGACAGCACGATGGCAGGAGCGCAACCTGCAAGTGGATCACAAATACCTTACTTCACCCCCTACAACCCGAGTATCGCAGGGTCCTTCCCGATGAACACGGTGCAGCAACTGCAGCAGGAGCAAGCCCAATCGCAGCAGCAGAGCATGGATCCTTTCGCAGCGCAGCAACTCCTCGGGATGAGCGGGATGGGTGGCAATGTCCATCCTCTACCGTATATCAACCCGCAAGGAATGATGCAGATGGTGGGCATGCCTGTTCCCGTGCCGATGCCGATCCAGCAGCAACCGATGACCTTCAATAACGGGACCAATCTTCCCGCCGCAGCGGCTAGTTCTATGGCAGCTGCTGCGTCGAGCACAACTATGGGAGCGGGAGTTCTTGCCGCGGCCACTACATCAATGCAAGGACAACAAGTAGCGGCAACAGTTCCTGGAGGTCCCGCTAGTACTTCTATTGCCCCACCCGCACCAGGGACTGTTGCACAGGTTTTTCAGCCAGACCCCCGGTATCTGAACCAGATCGGCGGTGCGCCGGTGGAGCAGCAGCAGAACGTCAATCAGAACGGTTTAGGTGCGCCGCCGCAGGGCCAAGTGCAGCAGCAAATGCCGGCTGGGGTGGCGCCTTTTCTCTGGATGCCGCACCCAAGCATTCCGAACCAATTCATTCCCGTGCCCGCGCAACCGCTAATACCGCAACAAGCGATGATACAACATCCCGGCCAAGGCCAACAACAAGCGACTCCTGCTGGCGCTATCCCGATGTTGCCGATGATGTTCCCGCCCCAAGTGCCCTTTCCTTTCAACCTCATGCCACAGCAAATGCCGGTTGTTTCAGGCATGCAAGGGCTGGGGCCGGCGCACCAAGGAACTTCTTCTACACAGCAGTCATCTGGATCTTCGTCGAATGTTCATCCAGGCTATTTTTACGAGCAAGAGCACCGGCTTGGCTTAGAGCGCAAGAAAAATCGGAGCGGAAAGAAGGCAGCGCAGGAAAGAGAGCTGCAGGCCGCGGCGGCGAAAAGGCATCAGCAGGAGCTTTTTGGGCAGAAGTATTGGTCGAATAGCAACGGGCAGTTTTTTCCTCTGCCGCATCAAATGTCAGCTGTGGCTACTGGTGGTGGTGGTGGCGCAACAACTACGACTGGTCCTTCTTTCTCCGTGGCCGCCACGGCAGAAACTACAAGCGGCAACTCATCTCCGTCGAAGACAGCAAGGTACAATGGCGGGCAGCGGAGACAGGGCATCGTTCCCGGATCCTCCTCTTCGACTCAGAACAGTCCGAGCAAAACAGGAGGCTCTGGTCCGGTTATCAGCCTGTCGGAGCAAATTGGAGCGGAAGACGGAGACGAAGACTCGACCAACGCTGAAGCAGCTGCTGCAGTTGGGGATCGTCCTGCCACCACCTCTCCTCTCGAGCAGGCTTTGGTGGCTTCAAAAGCCAAAGTGGATTTTGAAGCGTGGCGGGCGGATAAGAGGCGGCTAGAACGCGTGGAAAAACTCTGGGCGAGTATGACGGAGAAGGAGAGAAAAGAACGCGAAAACGACTGGAAACACGAGCGGCCGCCGAAAGTAGAGGCAAACAAGCCGATGGAAGTAGACAACGAGGAAGTTTTTCCCAGTTTAGCCGCATCTGTCGGTGGATCGGCTGATGCGACTGGGGGAAGAGCTTCAACTTCTACAGCTGCTGCTGCTTCTTCCACCTCATCCGTTCCCTCGTCTGCAGCTGGCGGTCCAACCCCAACGCCAGGAGGTGCTACGAGTGGAGGTCAAGCCGCGTCTTCCAGCTCTACTGCGGCAACCACAAATAGTGCAGAAGTGGGTGCCGCGGAACAAAGTAGTGGGTCTTCTGCAACATCTGAGCCTTCCACATCAAAGTTGAGCTATGCGGCGGCTGTGGCGAAAAGTAAAAATGCGGGAGAAGCAGGAGCGCAGCCATCCGGCAAGTGGAAGCCGTCTCTCCGCCCCGCAGCTGCGGGGACGACGGTTCCACCAGTTGGGCCCCCGATAGTAGTACAACCTTGTGCAGCAACATCCGGCTCGCCAGAATCGCCACCACCGGCAGTGGTCGCAGCTCCCAAGGAAATTCTGAGCACAGGACCTGGAAGTAGTTGCTCTGCAGCAGCAGTGGCGTCCTCTGCAGTGGCTCCCGCACAGCTGCAAGAGACGCAGCGAAAAAAGCTCCTTCAGCCCGGTCGCGTTCTTCAAAAAGACACTTCATCCGGTTTTCAGAGAGGACAAACAGCTCCCGGAGGATCTAATGATGTTGTAAGCAAGAAACACCAGCAGCCGATCGGCGCCGCTCCGAGTAGAGTCGCAAATTCGACCTCCCTGTCCACCGCAATCTCGTCCCCGGGAGCCGTCTACGTTCCCATGACCAAGAAACAGAAGCAGGACCACGAAAAGCAGGTCATTCGGGAGCTGATCCTGGAAATAGAAACGGACACCGCGTGGGATGCTGTGGTCGAACATGAAAACAACGACCCGGGGAAATTTCTGGAGACGATCAAGACGGCAAGTGGTTCGATTGCGGTGCAAAGGAAGTTGCAGCAATATTCGGAAATGATTTGCACGGAGGCGGTTTTGCAAATCGTGGTCGACGTGGAGATGGAAAATGGTGGAGCGACAACCAGTACCAGTGTGGCAGTCTTTCCAGGAGTAGCGGAGAACGAGAATGAAATCTTGGCTACAGATGCTGCTGCTGATCATGACATGAAAGCTGAAGAAGAAGGGGCAGGTAAAAATCCTGTCGAGACACGGTCTGAATCATCTGAAGCAAAGTGTATCGAAGAAGCGGAGGACGATGCAAAAACGACGAGCACAGCGACGACCACGACAATGCCCTGTTATGAAAATCGTGATGTCGACATGACGGCAGCGCCTGTGGATCTGCTATCAACAACTGGAATTGCAACTACAACAGTTGCAGCGGCCTTTGAAGTAGATGAGGATCCGATACCAGAACTCGCAAATCTCGCGATCTCAAATCGTCAGACGCAAGAAGAAGGAGCATCCTCACCGCCACAAGCTGCAGGAGCTGCCTCCAGTAGCTCACCTTACGAACCCGACCGTCCGAGCCCGATTCCGGGTTTCGGCGCCGCATTTTTCCATCCGACCAACCGCCGAAACAGTCACCGAAACACGTATTTTGGAGGTCCAGCGCTATGCATTGCAATAGCATCGTACTAGTATAAATGCGTTACAAATTTCCTCAGCACGAGAGATGAAATTTGTAATGCGAATTTGCCTCAAGAAAAAGATTTGCAACGCATGATTGCGAGAACTACTACGAGTACTGCGATGCTTTTGCAGTGCATAAGCGCCGGGCTACGACAATCAGGAAGAAAGTTCCTCCTCCAGCGGTTGCTCTCCCGGTTGCAGTCGGGACACACTGCGTTCGTCACAGGACTCGTTGCGGAAAGGAAGCAGGGTGTCGCAATTGGCGATGGTGGATGATGATGAGCCGGACGTGGAAGACGGTAACGACGACGTAGGACAGCAGCAAGAAGATCAACAAAAAACCGCCGACAGCACCGCGGCGCAAGTAGTTCATCATCATCTCCATGAGGACCTACTAGTACCCGTAGTTGATGTTCCGGAGTTTGGTGATACGGGAGTTGTGGTCCGTGAAAAATCTGACCCCTTTGTCTCGCCGGAGAACACATCTGCCAAAAGCGCGACCGGTGAGGTGGTGGTGGACACCAGTCCTGCCTTGAACAAATCACAGTCAGACATTAACCGGTTTTTCTTTTTCTCCCCCTGCAATTCGAACGCAGAAGGAGGTGAGAGAGCTGCAGCGTCTTCTTCTTCAACAGGAGCAGGTGGGCATCAAAATGTGATTGAGGCGCCAGCTACTTCTCCAACATCAATTCGTAACGAAAAATCGGACTGCAGTCTATTAGGTGCAGCAGCAGCACCTCCACCATCGTCTATCGAGAAGGAAGAACCTGCAACACGACAGGATCAGCAGGAGCTCGACGCGCGGCGGTCCTTTCACGCCGACGCTGCCGCCATTGCTGAGATGTTCGGGGAGCCGATGTATGAAGATAGCGTGATGGAGGGGGATACGCCGACGCCGGTGTTTGTTGATGCAAGAGATGTAGAACAACTACAACCAATGCAAGAAGACGAGGCCTCTGAAGACGCCGCGCCGGTAGAACAAGATGATGGAATGGAAATGGAGGAAACTACAGATGCTGACACAGCAGGTGACCAGCAAGCTGCACCACTCTGCTTGCCACTCCACCCGGAGAGAGAGCAAGAGGCAAACTACATACCAGCAGCAACCGTTTCAGTATCTCCTCTTGGTTCATGCGGTGACGCCTTTTTTGCAATTGCAGCAACAGAAACTGCTGCTGCCGCACAGCAGTTGTCACCGATACAGCACCCTCAAGACGTCGCTTTACCCCCGCAAGAAGAAGAACCCGCTGTCCTTCAGCAAAAAACCGTATCGGGTCGTTGGGCGGATTTGTGTGACTCCAGTCCGGACGCAGCAGTTAGAGCAACAAGCAGCTCGACGGCCGGCTCTTCACCACTGCATGACGTGCAGCAAAAAGTCTACGATGTGGAATCTTTGGTAAAAGGACCGCCCTTGCTGCCGGAACAACAGTTTCTGAAATCGCTCCTCCAGCTGTTCAAAACGTACCCTGAGTTAATTTGGTACAGCCTGGGAGATATGAAATGCAAAAGCATGATCGTACTACTTAGTACAAATCGCATGACAAATTTCCTCAGCATGAGAAATGAAATTTGTAATGCGGATTTAACTTTAGAAAGAAATTTGTAATGCATGAATGCCATTCGTACGAGTGCGATACTTTTGCACAGGATAGGAGACTGGGAAGCGAATCGGGTGCTTGACATGCTGATTGAGAAGTTCGACTTCGTTTGGCTCTTCATCGTAAACCAGTATCCACAGAAGAAAAACCCATCCGCATCCAATTGGTCATGCAAAAAACGCATAAAGTCTTGTGTTTGTCGTGCAAAAAATGGATGTTGATGGGTTTTTTTTCTGTGGATAGCAAGCTGATACAATACCACGACAACTTTGTTCACAGCAAACCGATAGGAGGAGGTGGTGAAAACAATGAATTTCTACCCGGGAGGAAGTTTTCCAGCACTTTGCAAAAATACTTCAACCGTGGCTCCTCTTCCGTGAAAGGTCGCCCCTGGGAAAAGGTCGCGGTGAGGACTTTTCTCCGGATCTTTTGGCGGTACGGCAATTGGGTGGTGAAGACGAATGAAGCCGTGTCCGAGCCCTTTTCCCGGGCGCAGTTGCAGACAAAGCATGGGTTGGTTTTGGAGAAATTGCAACTGTTGGTCCACTTGTACTTACCGCATCTAGGCTTGAAAAGGTTCTACGCGGACGAGGACAACTCGGGAATGTTTTACAAAGGGAACAAAGGGTCTGGTGGTCGGGGTGATCCGAGGAATAAATTCCTTTTGTCCTCTAGAGCGATTAACCACCAGCAGAACTCGGCCATGTTTATGCTATCAAATGCAAAAATGTCTGGTTCTGGAAGAATGCATGTTTGTCATGCTTGTCTGGCATGACTCTTAAATCTGTCATGCACGTTACGCAAGAGCTGCGCTTTTCTGTGATGCAGAAGCGCAGTTTGTCATGCAGAATAGGCAACACGTAGGAGCTCAGAAACTTGTCATGCTGAGCCAGCATTTGTAGCCTCATGATGAGACGCTACCCAGCATCACAAGTTCCCAGACCCAGACATTTTTACATTTGATACATGTACGTCTTGCGCTATTTGTATGACACAAATAACTCAACCAAACTCAAAATACCATGGGGGATCGAAAGAAAAATTTTGACTAGGGCAAAACAGAACTACAAGGCGCTTGTGAAGCGAGCCACTTTGCAGTCTGTCGATTGATTGCGCGAGCTAGATAGGGCACTACTGCATGGCGAAAGAAGCCCGGAAGTGGACTCTCCCGGTCCAAGGATTCGTCTGCATTTTTATAGATCAAGAGAAGCTGAAGCCTGGCGGCGACAGGCGTTATGCAAAGCATCGCCAGGGGGGGTTGGCTATTTTCCTGCATGGGGATGCTTTTTTTCTCAAAGACCGATGGTGCGAGGCCTTTGAAAATCTCCAGCGGATGGGGATCGCTGACGGGGGATCTCCCGTAGCGGAAGCATTTCAAAAAACTGCGGGGCATCTTTCCCACCAGAGAATCTCAACAAACCGAATTCGTGGACCAAAAGAGCCCACTTCAGGAGGGCTCCTTTCACCACGCAAAAGCGCCTTATCTAGCGCCCTTGTTGAGTGGCTACATGGCTTTAGGCGCTCAACTATTTGCATTGCAAAAACAAGCACACCTCTCAGCTAATTTTTTTTGCTTTATGGGGCATGGTAAAATGCCTTTGGTTGAGTTATGTGTGTCATAATTTGCTACAGAAATCCACCCCGATCAACGAGATCATCGAATTATGCAGTGCAAATATGTCTGGGTCTGGATGGATGGAAGATGTAATGTTGTTTGTGAAACCTACAACTATCTGTGTTGCATGAGCAGCAAGAGGAGTCCAGCTCTTGGAACGTGGAGCGGGCATTTCTCATGCGTGATAAGCATCAAGAAGCCCTGTAAAAATCTGTGATGCTAGGATCTGCATTACAGACCTTACGGGTCATGCAAAATGTGCATGACAAACCCCGACTCTTCCAGACCCAGACATATTTGCAGTTGATACGAATCCGCGAAAGTGTTTGAAAGGGCGTTTGCAAGGAAAGTAGCCGCAGGGTACGTTTCGCCCACAGGAGCTGCGGGCTCTTCTTCTTCCTCTCCTGCAACTGCATCATCCGCTGGAGCAGCAGCAGGTCCTCTCTCTGCATCGTCCCCAACAACACTCTCTGTCGTTGAGAAAAGCAACTCGCTGCAAAGGTTTATCAATGACCACTTCGAGATTCAGGTCCGCGATAGCGATGTGAGGATCCGCGCCATTGCCGTGCCAGAACCGAGTGAGAAAATGATCGCGCGAGTGAAAGACTTAGTAAATCCTAGTTCCTGGTGGAATTTCTACGGTCAGAATGACGAGAAGGTCTTTCTGCAGAGAATCGAGGAGCAGCGGGAAAAACAAGGGTTGCTGCAGCAACAGAGTCAGACGAAGCAGCTGCGAGAAATGATGAATAATTTGGTTCTTGCAGATGGTGATGGTGCTGCAGGGAGGGCCACGACAATTTCGAGTAGTACCACCACAACGCATGAGCTGCAGCCGCATCAGCAACAGCCGGGAGCCACGGGACAGCCATCGCTGCAACCGGGACCGCAAGTAGATGAATCGCGTGTTGCGAAAGATGTAGTTATGACGGATCAACAAAGGTGCCAACCACAACCGTTGCTGGCTGCGGCTGTCCCTGGTGTCGGTGTGGTGTCACAAACAGTTGCTCCCTCTGGGCAACGACATCAACCGCCTCCAACCACTTCTGAAATCGCGTTCGCAGCGCAGATCGACATTAAATCTCTGCTATCAACTGCAAAAGTATCGCACTCGTATAAATGCATTACAAATAATCTCCTCAGCGTGAGAAATGAAATTTGTAATGCTGATTTACCTTAATGCAAAGATTTGCAATGCATGATTGCAATACGAGTGCGATACTTTTGCACGGGATATCTGCGCGCCGCGATGCGCGGACGGGGTGACTATGACAAAGTGACGGAATTCACGCACGGTGGTATCCTGTGTAAAAGCCCCCCGCTCCAGAGTTGTAATGCAAATCTGCATGCTTAAAATGTTTCTCATGCGGGGACCCATGAGAGGCGTTTTCTTTTGGTGAGTTGAGATTTGTCATGCTCGAATCAGCATAACAAACTGGATCTGTGACGCTGCTGCACTAGCTAAACACGACTACACTGCGACCCCGAATTTGTTATGCGCGACAGCCAAAACTTTGGGATTTGTGTAGCAGATTTCCCATCTTCACTATGGGATGGGGACGTTTTTGGTCAGGAAAGGTGGGGCGAGAACTTTACCCCAACCGGATGTGGAGGTTTTGTCGAAGGTGTTTCGATATCCTGTGCAAAAGTATCGTACTCGTAGTAATCGCAGTTATGCATCACAAATCTACATGCTAAGGTAGATCAGCATGACAAATTCCATTTGTGATGCTGAGCTAATTTGTATTTCAATACTACGACTACGATACTTTTGCACAGGATATTCGACCGTTGGCTGGGGAAATTGTGAAGATGATGTTCTTTCAAGACAAGCAGGAGGACAAAAATTCTTTTGCTGCGTCAGGAAATGCAGGTGCAGGAACAACTTCATCGCCCTCTGGCACAACTACCGGGACTTCGTCGCGGACAAAAATCCTCCTGAGTAACCAAGTACGGCATGGCGGAAAATCGGGAAGGGAGTCCTCCTCTACTCTGTTGCAGCTCCCACTTGGACCACAACAAGCTTCTACGCAGCAGCACGCAGCAACAAGCGGAATTACTGCAATGGAAATGTACGACCCGGGTAGTATGCCAATGGCGATGTTTTCCCCGGTTGGTGGATCATTCCCCATGACTGCCGCTCCTGCAGTGGGTAATTTTGGATTCGGTATGATGGAAGATTTTTATCCTGAAGAAGGATCCGGTGGTGGCAGCGGGATGAAAAAGTCCACCCGATCATCGGGAAATAAGCGAGGTGGAGCTGGTGCGCGGGGGAAAAGAAGTAAGTGGGGGATGAGTGCAACTGATTGGACTGGTGCTGGTTGGGGTAGTAATTGGGACTACGCGGATTGGAGTAAATGGTACTACGACCGGTTATCCAGGACGAAAAAACACCGATCCACATCCAATTTTTACATGACAAATAGTGGATTTTACGTATGTTTGCCATGACAAATTTGATGGCGATAAGTGTTATTTCCTGGATACCGTTACGGAAATTTCTACAAATACGGACCTGACGAGCATGAGGAGCAGCAAATAGCTCACACTGTGAGCCAAAGATCCGCCGCGTCTGCCTTTTCGGATGTGTCCGCTCCGACAGATAGTTCTGCTGTGGCTGCGACAGAAGGAGGTGGTGAAGAGACGAGGAACAAAAAGCAAAACAAGAATCCTCAGCCTTCATCTACCACTGCTACGACCGCGTCAAAAAAACGCGACAGGAACAAGCGGAATAAATCTGAAGTGTTGAATAACCAGCTGCGGTCCACCTCTCAACTTGGAGATGCAGACCGGCCCCAAGAGGAAACCGAAACGACGAAACGCAGTCTCTTGCGGAGTCACACGTTGCCGGCACACCAGAGTGCAGCTACGTCTTCCAGCAGCGGTGCAGCTGCTGCGTCCACCGGTGAAGAAGCTGCTCTTGCTTCCACTCTGGCCTCGTCCTCGACAGAAGCTAATTCTGCTGGCCAACGTCAGAGGACTACTGACGCGACTGCAACTGCGCCTGCATCCTCGTCTACTTCGCCCCAGACTGTGACCGACCAAGTCGTGAACCAAGAACAACCACCGGAACAAGGACAGGCTGTGATAGGTACGCAACAGAATAAGAATATCCCCTATCACACCCGCAACACATTCGTCGAGGTTTCCACGCCCGATAACACGGGGACGAGTCCGATGTTCATTAAGGAGCTGCTACAGGCCCCGAGAGGGAGTTCCTTTCCATGAAGTAGAAGTACTGCGGTCTTGCTTTAGCCGTTTTTTGGTCAGTAATTTTGATCCAACTTGATATTGACTCTGTGTAAATGTCCGCCTCGTCGTTGATAGTCACACAAATGCGCCGACTCTTGCTCCTGCTTTTGGGTCTTTCAAAGTTGACATGGACGCTGCATCAATCCGAAGCCCGCGGCCAAAAATAAGCATTGCGTGTGACTACTACTTTTCGTCGAAATATAATAACCATTCAAGAAAAATACAACTTATACGTACCGCTTTTTGATCTTTGGCTTTTTGATTCGGTTGGGAACTTTCATTTTTTTTTGTTTGTATCACGTAGTTAGTATGCTCTGAGTCCTCTTATTGCAGTTTCGGCTGTATTTTATGTTTACCATTTTTTTGGTCTGCTTGTTGTCGTGTCAGAGCAAAAATTTTCTACAAATGTTTCGTGGTCTACTGTTTGTGAAAAAGAAAATGGCGACTAAAAAAAAAATGATGCATTGCTTACAGGAATAAAGACCCTCGTAGCTGCCTCTATCTTGTCAGGCAAGTTTTCATGGTGCTCCCGCTTGACAAAATTGACCCCAAACGCAAAGCTTGATTTTTTTTGTCGTGCCAGTTTACTCGTAGAGAAACTCGAGGTCGTCTACCGCGACGATCTCGAGGAGTTCTATCACTACCAAATGGCCCCATCCCAGAATTCAAGCCGTCGTGTATGACTCTGTTCTGAAATATAGGCCTGGATGCAGCTGGGTGCAGTTCTTCTTGTGCCTCATCCTGTCCACTTGATACCATGCCTGTGAGGGCCCGAGAGTTGTGAGAGCAGAGTGGCACGAAACGATGAAAGTCCAAGACTCGGTGACGTCACGCTCACGACTGTGTCCTAGTAACATCAACCCGAGTATGATCTCAAATAGGCAAAGATCCGCTAAAAATCGTCGTGCTAGCCATTGCTACTAGCGACGTAGCGGTCTTATGTTGATCATCCGAATAGGATTTTTGCTTCTGGAGCGCATGACTACATTTTCATGTGGTCAATGTCGTTTGCTATGGCCCGGTCAACGACGCTTTTCTCAAGTATGCTGAGAATTTTTCTATGCGTATTTTTTGGAAATGCGCCGCCCTTCCGCCCGTGCGCATTCGGGCAATGAAACTGCAGAAGCGGGCCGCGCACTTGATTGCGCAGGCCCAATGAGAGGGGAGCCAAGCTAGACGCCCATGAACAGGCCCGCCGTGTTGGCCCGCGCGCATTGTCTGAGATCATTTCGGGGAGGGAGGGCGCCTCCCGACATCCGCCCAAGGTTTCCTCGTTGGCCCCCCGTCTCTCCTCTATCTATGGAAACCCCTGCCGACATACCAGCGGCGAAGACATTGGGCGCAGTGGGCGAAAATAATGCCAAAAAATGCACCTTGGAAGAAAAGGCCGGACGGGGGCCAGCTTTTCCGGACACGGCCGGAAACCCTGGCCCGCCAAAGCGCGTGGACCCTACACCACCAACATTTTGCTCTCGCTAATCTGTGCGCGCCCCCTTGACAGGCGCCAGTGCCGCCTATCGCGAAGCAAAATCCCTGGCGGCGGCGCTCGGGCCAACTTACCGGCGGCTCCTGCAGGGGGGGCGCGGCCCGTTTCAGCTTTGTTGTCTTTTATTTCCGAGGCACCCCAAGCACAGGCAGAGGTCCTTCGGCGCAATTTCCGGAGAATTCTCTGCCCGGCGTCGGGCAATTGCTCCGGGACGTTTGGGGACCTCTTTGAGGGGCATCATTCGCTGGGGTTTCGCGTTTTTTTTGGGGGCATCTTTTCACCCCTTCCGGAGGCAGCCCCCGGGGCTTGCCGCCGACGCTTTCCTGGTAGTGCATTTACTGGCCCGCAGTCGCCTGGCAGGTCGCGCGGGGCCGGGCAGGCTTGCGCGGCCGCGGGGGCATACCCCGGCAAAGGCTTCGGCGGGCTGCACGGCGGCCCGGCGGGCGGGCGGCGCCGCGGGGACTGAACTCGCACAGGCGCCGCGCTCGCGATTGGCGGCGGGCCCACCGACTATGTCTATGCGGTCGCGCACAGGGAGGGCGCATCCGCAAAGCCTTCGCCACGAACGTGGGCGCGCCGAATCGATGGGAAACCAAAAACGCGGCCCAATGTTGCGCGGCATCGTCGAGGTTTGCCCAACCTGTGCAACGCCTCTACTTGCTCGAAGTGTGTGTGCCCGCGCGGCGGGGCATGCGCATCGCCAACACATAGGGGCGCGCCCCTTGGTGCACTTCGGGACGCCGTGGCGCCTCGCCAACAGCGAATGCCACGCGGCGGGCCCTCCACGAAGTGGGCCCCGGAGGAGCTTGACGTGGCCAGCCTCCAAGCTGATAGACACAGGCCCTGTGGGAACGGGGCGCGATGTCTTCGAGTGTCGCCCAAGTGCTCGGAACCCGAATCGTCATGCGAAAAAAAATGCATATCAAAATTTTCAGCATACTTGAAAAAAGCGTCGCTGACGCCACCATATTTGCGCGACCGTGAAAATTATACGTCAAAAAAAATTGCTCTCCCCTTATTGTTATTGTGGTATCGATCGCGTTTATTTTTATTTGTTATTGTCTATGTTTGTTTTATTGACCTCTTCCTTTTTGCGAGAGTATCCCAGGATATTCAATTTAACCTATTAATTTGTTGTTTCCGTAGTGTAGTATCTGTAACTGTATATTTTGACCACATGATTCTATAATTTCTTTTGCGTAAAAGATGGAATCTCACAGTGTCCGTTTGGATCGTCCTTCCGGTTCTCTGCGTGACTTGATGCAGAGTCTCGATTGACCCGGCGTTCTTCGTGTAGTTGCCAAATGACATATCGTTCTCTAGTGCACTTGCACCATTGCGCCCACGACGTTCACGGTCTTCTTCACCACAATTACTAGTCGCGCATCGCCGACGGATATTAACCGATGAAGGGAACCGATTTATTATTGGAATCCGAATGAAGCCTGCTTTTGCTTTTCCGTCCTGCTTCTTCGTCATTACGGTCTCCATTGGTGGACTACAACCAGTAGCTCCTGACGAAGAGGCGCACAACTTCTACTGCAGAAAGTATAGAAATCATTTCTGCATCCAGTTCGATCGAAAGCCGACATCATTATGTTGATTCAAGACCTGCTAAGTACCGCGGCGGGTTCTTGTCCAGCGAGCGACATCACTTTCCCCGCACGTGGGAACAACGAGATCGTCTGCCGGAAGATAAAGATATGGACGCAAGTTTCACTCGGGTGAACTTCTCTTGAACAAGAGAAGACAGCTCCTGCACATTACAACTTCTTGTTACGAGCGCGACCTTGCAAAACATGAGGACGTCGAGAGGACTATCACGAAGCTCTTTACGACGAGGACAATCTTCCGGTCTAGTCCACTCTGTAAAGTGACGAAGCGCGACAAAGATGAAAAAGCTCGGTCGACAGAAGAACCATACTTAAATCAGATCACCCACACGTCGACCAAGCCTGCGCCCGCCAGGTTCTACTCGAGGACGACGTCCTGACCACTTCGGTCTGACGAGATCAACACCAGCACAAAAATGACCTGGAAGATAATATACCGGATCTGGGTGGGCGTCGGCATAATTGCCGTCGTCATCACCTCGATTCGTCTCGGCGCCTTTGCGACGTACCGGAATCATCTACAAGAAGACGATGGAAAGATGAAAGCTGCTACTAGTACTAGAGCTGCTACTTCTACTAGTCCCGAGGACAATGGGGACGACATCAGCACAAAAGCGACGAGTCAGCCTGAACCTGCTGCTGCTGCTGCTGCACAGCAGGAAATAACTTTTATTCAAGAGCCCCAAGAACCTCCGAAGGACAACGTGAAACATGAACAACAAGAGGAACAAGCAGCGAAGGAAAAAAATGTTCTTCAAAAGGCAAGAGGCCTGTTGCTTCATTATCATCACTATGCAATACAAATTTCCCGAAGATCAAGATGTTGATGTACAAGATGCATCACAAATTTCGTGTAAAACTTGTCATGCTAAACTAGCAAAGAAGAAAAGTTTTGCCATGTAGAGACCGCATTTGTACGTGTACGGGAAATTTACTGTGGATAATCACGATCATGAACATGATGCTGATAAGCCCCACCGACCTACCGTTACTGACCGGATGGCAGAGGTCGAGGCCCGATGGGGGCAGAAACATCAACATGGCCGAGATGATCTCGCAAATAAAATCGGGGAAGATCCTGATGATGATGCTGGCGCAACTGGTGATGAAGATGACGATACCGATTCGCAGGAAGTACCGACCACAAGCAGAGGACATGTAGAGCACCTTCACATAGATGAAGAGGGTGACGGGGTCGTAGACGTTTCGCTGATATCCTGTGCAAAAGTATCTGATACTCGTATTGCAGTCATGCGTTGCAAATCATTTTCTTTTTCTTAAGGTGCAAAGGCATTACAAATTTCATTTCTCATGCTGAGGAAATTTGTATATGCATTTATACATTCAAACACGATACTTTTGCAAAAATCCATAGCTAACTAGGCAGCAGCTGCGCAACTTGCTAGCTGGAAAGGAAAGAAATGCAGAGGAAGATGATGAAGAAGATCATGCTTCTCATGACCCACGTCGTTATTTGCATTTGCGCGATGGCGATAAAAAACAAACAAAGCGGGACAAGAGTCTCCGGGAGTTTATAAGCCGGGAGGATCTTATTTCAGCAGTATCGGACGAAGAAGTGAAAAACGAAGAGCAAAAAAGAAAAACGACTAGACAAACTCAGGTTGAAAATAAAGATAAAGAACCTCCACAAGAAGTAGCAGGAGAAATAAATCAACTTCTAGTACAACCAGTCGAAACAACAACATCCTCAGCTGAAGGTGCGACTTCCTCGGTAGGAGGTCTTGACAGCGAAGAGGAAGAAATTCTCGCTCCAGACGGCAGAGGGACTGAAGTCCTCGGGGTCATTCCAGCGGGGGAAGAAGTAGAGGACCAACTGCTAGCAGATGAGCAGTTTGCCGCTGCGTCCGTAGTTCCAGTTCCCGTGCAGGGGCCAGGGGAACAAATGAGTACGCAGGCTTCTCCTGCGATTCCTGTCACTGATGTGAAGAACGACCTAGATACAGCAGCAGGCCCGATATTTTCATCAACGCCACCTAGTAGCAGAAGTACAACTACTGCGAGTAATGATAACATCGTCCACGACGTTGAGGACCCGGCGGTTGCCGGAGGCGACGTACTAGCGCAGCAAAATATAGAACAAGAACACGCGCCGCCATCATCATCTTCACAGGAAGAAGCTTCTTCTGCAGCTGCGACGACATCGGGTCGTATTGCAAAAACATCAATAAATACCGATAGCACTAGCACACTTGATGAAAAAGAAAATCCGGAGCAGCAGGTCCAAATAAAGCATGAGAACAACGACCTCCGCGGCGAAGCGGTAGAAGGAGTAGCAACGATAGTGGCCCATGAAGATGATGTCGCACCAGCAGAACAGCCGGCGCAAGAACTAGTACCTGAACCAGCAGCAAAAGCCTCGATCCCGGGGTCCTCCCTCTCGTCCGCTGGCACCACACGGATCCAGGCGGAGAAAGCGCAGCTATTGATGCAGAGACGACAAGCGGAACAGGTGCAGCACCAGCAGAAGCGAGAAATAACCGAGAAACGCGAGATGAAGACGAGCTCTAGAAGTCTTGCTTCCAGTGCGACATCTCC